CTTTTAGATGAACTCCTATATTAAAAACCCCAAAATTCTTCTATTGAAGTGCTCCATTGAATATCTCTATCGAGAAGAAACAAAGTTTACATGCATAGATCCCATCGTTCTACAGGTTGGAATGATTTACTTTACTTTGTCCTTTCTGTTCCATAACCTTACATCAGAGTCCTAATAAGGTGACCACTTATTATTTCCTAGGAGAAATATTATATGTCACAACATCTGTTGGACCTATATGCTTGAGTATAAGCCTAGTTTTTCAGCCCTTTTTTGGGGTTGAAGAAGCTCCCCTTGGCTTATACTCGAGTCAAGGTTATTTATTATTTTACTCTTGTTGTTATTATTATTACATATATTATTCTATTCTATTATTATTACATGTATTATTTTACTCTATTTATTATTATTACATGTATTAATTTAGTCTATTTATTGTTATTATTACATATATTATTTTACTCTATTCATTATTGTTATTATTACATGTATTATTTTACTCTATTATTACTGTTATTACATTTCTATTATTTTACTTTATTATTATTATTGTTACTATTTTATTAATTATTTTATTCTCTTTATTACTATTGGAAGGATATGTAATAATCTGTTCTGCTGAAAAAATTATTAAGAATCATAGAACCCATGCAGACTGAAATTGTGATTTTATCTGGGGTGGACAGAGAAGCACTTTAAATAATAACCACCGTAGCATAGCAACTTTGTATACTAAAGTAGTCTGTTTCTTAAAATTGCATTTCTGTAATTCCTCTATTTGTTTTGGCCAGTGATTTATTTCCTCAAGTGCTCTCATTTAACTGTATACTGATGGTTCCCAAACTCCGATGGCATTTACCATTTGAATCCTCCATGTGTTTAACGTGAGATCATGGCACTGGTTTTAACTGTGCTGACCTTCAAATCAGCATGTTTCAGTTTGAGGCTTGTGGTCCCTGAAGTACTTCCCTCTCCCTTGTAATACACATCTGATTGCTGCCATTCCTGTTTTGTCACATCAGGAAAGGGAGTTCTTGAAGAACTATGTACAGAGGATTGTGGATGTGAGGCCTACTTTAGTCCTGGTGGAAAAAACAGTGTCTCGTATTGCTCAGGACATGCTGCTGGAGCATGGCATCACTTTGGTCATCAATGTTAAGCCGGTAAGTACACAGATTCTAAGCAGCAATTTTATGCCCTCAATTGCTGCTGCATCTTAGATAACCAGTAAACTGCAAATATTCATAGATAAATGGGCTGTTGACCATATATTATTTGCTTTTGATTTGAGCCTAAATATATCTTGATTTTTCTTTGTAAAACCAGTTTGTATTGCATTGCAATTTTCATTCTTTAGTGAGATTCGTATTTCTTTGTTGTAAAAGAGTTGTCATTTTCCAAGTTTGAACAGTACTTCAATTAATAATAATAATAATAATAATAATAATAATAATAATAATTGCAAAGACTCTGGCACAAACCAGTAAAGGTGGTCCCAGTGGTGATCGGCACACTGGGTGCAGTGCCTAAAGACTTTGGCCATCACTTAAACACAATTGGCGCTGACAAAATTACCATCTGCCAGCTGCAGAAGGCCACCTTACTGGGATCCGCACGCATTATTCGCCGATACATCACACAATCCTAGACACTTGGGAAGTGTCTGATGTGTGATCCAATACAACAGCCAGCAGAGTGGTCTTGTCTGCTGTGGACTCATCTTGTTGTGTTTCAAATAATAATAATGATAATAATAATTTATTTTTAACCTGCCTTCTTTCACCGAGAGAACTCAGGGGGGTTTCCAAAATAAAATGGCAAACATTCAGTGCCAGTACAAAATATAATATAAGGCCCCTGGTAGTGCAGCGGGTTAAACTGCTGAGCTGCTGAAATTGCTGACCAAAAGGTTGATGGTTCAAATCTGGAGAGTGGAGTGATCTCTCGCTGTTAGGCCCAACTTCTGCCAACCTAAGAGTTTGAAAACATGCAAATATGAGTAGATCAATACGCACAATTTCTGCAGGAAGGTAATGCCGCTCCATGCAGTCATGCTGGCCACATGACCTTGGAGGTGTTTATGGACACCTTCGGCTTAGAAATGGGGATGAGCACCACCCCCCAGAGTCAGACATGACTAGACTTAATGTCAGGGGAAACCTTTACCTTTATCTTACAAAACATAATTGACAATTACTAGACAATTAATTAATCACAAATATCATATAAAACATATAAATTAAACATATAAAAACACAATTGCACAGATTAAAATACATATCAAAATATAGATAGTTAAGATAGATCAGATCACAAGGGGCTGCGGTTAGCACAGCGGGTTAATCACCAGCTATTGTAATTCTTGTTGACCCGAAGGTCGACAGTTCGAGCCACAGGTGGGGTGAGCTCCCATCATCAGCCCTAGCTTCTGTTTACCTAGCAGTTCGAAAACAAAGCAATGTGAATAGATAAAATAGGTACCACTTCCGTGGGGGAGGTAAAAGATGCCCCTGAAAAAACATGCCGGCAAGATTCGATCAGCAAGGCATCCAAGGGTAATAGTCTAGTCTCTTCCGCATGGAAATTGAAACAATAGTACCACTATGGCTGAGTCGATCACAGCCTCCAGATGCCGAAGATGTAAACAAGCGGGAAGCCTTGCCTCTTACTTTGTTGTTAATTGTGTAATGGCATTGAATGCTTTCTATGTATGTTTCTATAATCAGCTCTGGACCCTCCAGGGGAGATAGACTGGAATATAAATAAAGTATATTTATTTTGGTGGGGACAAGCCACAGACCCGTACCTAATATTATTGTTGCCTGCCATAGCATTGCACTTAATTTTCGGGACTCCTAGAATTTTGGGGCTTGCGCAAATCTTGGCCCAGCCTTGTAAATTTTTAATTGCCTTGAATAGGCAGGATTACTTTTAATATATGTGTGTTATGGTGGCAATTTTTATGCTTATATTGTTTTGTTAATTTTATGGTTATGATTTTTTACTTTGTATGTTTTGTGATGTTACCTGGGAACTGCTCTGAGTCCCCTCGGGGAGATAGTGCAGTATATAAATAAAGTTTATTATTATTGTATTGTTGAAGGCTTTCATGGCCGGAATCACTGGGTTGTTGTAGGTTTTTTCTAGACCATGGCCATATAGCCCGAAAAAACCTACAACAACCCACATTATTATTATTATTATTATTATTATTATTATTATTATTATTATTATTATTATTTTAATATTCGTTTCCACACGACCAGCTTGATCCCCGAGGGAAGCCTGCAAACAGCAGCCAATATTCAGACGCATGTTACATCTAGTTACCAGAGAGTAATCTCTAGCCATTGTGACTGGTAGTCAGATATACTAGTTTAGCTAATTTCCTTTTAAACGAGACCAAGCTGGTTGCTGCTAGCTGTGGTACCCAAAAATTCTGTAGCACTTTATCTTGTTGCCCTCTCTATTTCCATAGTTTTTACCAAAACAAATTCTCATATGCTTAAAAAACAAAGCAAGATAATTTTGTTCAAAAGTGTACAAACTGTTGCATCATGCCTCTGCTGTTACCTGGTGGCAGATCTAGCACTCCGTCATTTTTTGTACTTGGCAAATGCATTGAAATTTGAGAAAGTTATATGATTCTTATTATGGTTTCTGCCCTGCTGTGTAGCCACTTATCCCTTCCTGGATTCAGCTGAGTGAGAGATTAAACGTAAAATGCTTGCTATCTTATCAATGTTTTGCAGCATGTCTTGGACAGGGTAAGTCGGATGACTCAGGGAGATGTATTGATGTCGATGGATCAGCTGCTGACCAAGCCACACCTGGGGACTTGCCACAAGTTTTACATTCAAGTTTTTCAGTTGCCTAATAGTAAGTAAAAGCACAGTGCCATGAGTAATGACAGACAGCTCATGTTTAAGGCATTTCTGTATCCCATCCTTAATCAGAAAGACATCAGGGTGCCCTTTTTGTCCTCAGGACAACCCTGGGAGGTAGATACTTTATATTTTGCAATTCATACAGCAACTTTGTAGAAAGGCCAGTATTATTGTCTACCTCCTGGCAAGGCTGATCATGCAGGTCGCTTGAACCCATTTGGCTTTCATGAGACTAGTATCTATTTAATCAGATACATCATGAAAGGAGGAGGTGATTGGAAGTAATTTACTTGATATATCATGCATATATGATATCATATAAAGCAGATTTTCCTAGCCTGGTATTCTCAACTCCTCTAATGCTTCAGTAATTTCCATAGTCTCTGGAACTGATAGGAATGGTATCTGGTGGGATTCAAACTAGGGAAGGCTTATTATAAAACATGTAGTCTGTATAAGGAATCAAGAAGATCTTTTTTGGTTCTACCTTCTTTGGAACTGTGTGTGACTGTCAGTAATTTATTACTGAGGTGCTTTCACTTCAAACAAACTCGGCAGCCTCATTTTCTGCTCACTTAGAGCGGCTTTTTATCTTTATTTACATTTCCCAAACTATATACAAATTTACACTCCTCAGCGTGGCCCATAGAAAGAGAGAATAAGTCATGACGTCTAAGACCAGGGGTCCTCAAACTAAGGCCCGGGGGCCAGATATGGCCCTCCAAGGTCATCTACCCAGCCCTCGCTCAGGGTCAACTTAAGTCTGAAATGACTGGAAAGCACACAACAACAACAACAATCCTATCTCATCAGCCAAAAGCAGGCCCACACTTCCCAACAGGACTGTGGTGAAGCTAGCTGGGAGTTAGCTGCATTAAGGTCATGAGTTCAAAGCCAGCCCGGATCGGAGTGAATGTCCGACCAATTTGTGCAGCTTGCTGTCGACCTTTGCAGCCTGAAAGATGGTTGCATCTGTCAAATAAGAAATTTAGGTACTGCCTACGCGGGGAGGCTAATTTAACTAATTTACAATGCCATAAAAATCTCCAGCAAGCCTGCAAAGAATTAGGAAGTACTTCATCAGTGTCACAAATGGACGGTGAAGCAACAGCTCCCCTGGGGCCAGAATACCCTCATGAAAAGTTAAATTGCCTCTGTGTCTGTCTATATATGTTGTGTGTCTATGACATTGTAATCTGCCCTGAGTCCCCTGTGGGGTGAGAAGGGCGGAATATAAGTACTGTAAAACAAACAAACAAATAAATAAATACTGATAAGTTTATATTTGTTAAAATTGTTCTTCATTTTAATTATTGCATTGTTTTAAAGTGGTTTTGCACTACAAATAAGATATGTGCACTGTGCATAGGAATTCATTCATGGTTTTTTCAAATTATAATCTGGCCCTCCAACAGTTTGAGGGACTGTGACCTGGCCCTCTGTTTAAAAAGTTTGAGGACCCTTGTCTAAGACATTTACACTGTGCTTATCAGATCTCATTATTCAAGACAGGAGGAAGTTACACTTTGACATTTTCTCTGAGTCTAGGCATGTCATGTCCACTCCTCTGTTTTAACCTTTTCATGCTTGGTTTTGGCCACTATATGATTAGCAGAATCATATACATTCTCACAGAGACACCCTACTAAATGCCTCTTTGCTGCTGTGTTGGAAGCCAACCGAAGATACTGAGTTGCTATTTTTATGTAAGAAAATTTATTTATCTTTTTTTTAAAGTATCTACCTTTCAGGATTGTGAAATTCAATATGAAAATTCAATATGAAGTCATAAAATCAACTTAAACTCAGTTTTTTTAAAAAGCAAGTTCAAATATAAAAATATCAGCTATTTAACAACAGCAGCAAAATGCCATAAAATATTTTCAGTTAAAAGACAGAACAATATAAGTTCTTTAAACCCTGGGAAAGCATGATAAACAGAGCCCAGCAGTTGGACCTAGCAATGTCTATGTCAGGAGGGAATGCTAAAGGCCAATCTTTAGATTGGGGAAGACTGGTTATTTTCTGAATAGGGTTTGAACCCATTTATAACCCCAAGACATGGACCAGAAATGAGGCAAAATTTTTCCCCACAGGTGATAGTGTAAAAATGTTTCTCTTTTTTTTTTTAAGGTCAAACAAAAACATTGATGTTTTTTGAAGGCTGCCCACAGCACCTGGGTTGCACCATCAAGCTGCGTGGTGCAGGGGATTATGAACTGGCTCGAGTGAAGGAGATTCTCATTTTTATGATTTGTGTGGCTTACCATTCCCAGTTGGAGATCTCGTTCCTGATGGATGAATTCGCCATGCCCCCCATGTTGGCCAAAAACATTTCCTTTCATTCCCTGATTGAAGGCCAGGGAGAAGATAGTGGACAGCAAGACCAGTCAAAAACTATTGTAGGAAAAGATGTTGACATGGCCTCTGAAAAAATGCCTGTAATCTCTGAATTGCCATCTTTGGATGAGATGAGTTCTATGGAAGAAAGCACATTGGTAGAAGAGAATGGGCAGGATAATAGTGACTTGCAAGATGTTTCTTCTCAGAAGCGACAAGAACAACTCTCGATGGATTCTTCATTCATACCTCCTTTCTTTCCTTCCACATTAATACCAGAGGCTTTGTTGCCCCTTGACCTGATGGACCAACAGCTGGGAATTTTGGACAGTGAGCAGCTGGATAATTTAGCTGGTATGGATGAGTTCCAGGAGCCAAAAGGTCAGATTAGGGAGTTTAGGGACCCCCTGCAAGATGACACCGGGATGTATGTTACAGAAGAGGTGACCTCCTCTGAAGATCGCCTCAAATCTTTCTCTCTAGCATTTAAACAAGAGCTGAAGGATCTTATTCTCTGCATTTCCCCAGTCATCACATTTCGTGAGCCTTTTCTGTTGACAGAGAGGGGCATGAGATGCCCCACAAGGGAGTATTTCCTGGAGCAAGTTTATGTGTCACCTCGGCTCAACAAGGAGTACAAAGAGCTTGACGGCAGGAGGAAGAAACAGTTGTTGAGGGATCTGGCTGGCTTGCAAGGAATGAATGGAAATATCCAAGCCAAACCTGTCCAGATCTTACCTTCCCATGAACTTGTGAGCACTAGGATTGCAGAGCATATGAACAATAGCCAAAGTCTGGCTAGAATGGTGGCTGACTTCCGGGCCAGAGGAGGAAGGATCGTGCAGAAGGATGCAGATCCCTTTGCCCAATGTAAGGAGACACCTGAAGTGAAGTTTGGAGCCAGGAGTGGGGATGAAGATGGATTTATTCAGAATGAATCCCTATGGTCACATAAAGTAAGTGAAGTGAAACATCCAAACTGTCTTGTTTGATGCTCTGGGGGCCTAGGGTTTTTCCTTTCCTCTTGGAATCATAAAACAAAGCAGACTTCTATTTTAGATTGAGAAGGCCAAGCCATAGCATTATTAAACTCTTGAAACTGAGCCACCCTTTCCCCATCCCATTTGACTAGCAATCATCCCTTTGGAAAGATTGTGCATAGAGTTCCCACACACAGTTATATGCATGTGTGTATATGAGAGGGGGGTAGGTTGGTTATGGAATCACACTGGCAACAGGAAGGGACTGGAACAGAGGCTCTTATCTCGCTTCTGAATCGAGGTGGTCTGGAATGGTCTGCTGTAGTCAGATACCGTCCTATTATCCTCCGTTCTCTCTAGTTCCCAACACTGACATGATACTTCTACAGTGTCCCATCCCAACCCTTAACTTGGACAAATGTGTCTCAGACATGTTCTCTACCTGCCAGTGACTTGCAGGCCTACTGTACACACTACTGAGCTTAGAATAATAGAATCATAGAGTAGGAAGAGACTTCATGGGCCATCCAGTCCAACCCCCTGCCAAGAAGCAGGAATATTGCATTCAAATCACCCCTGACAGATGGCCATCCAGCCTCTGTTTAAAAACCTCCAAAGAGGGAGCCTCCACCGCACTCCAGGGCAGAGAGTTCCACTGCTGAACGGCTCTCACAGTCAGGAAGTTCTTCCTCATGTTCAGATGGAACCACCTTTCTTGTTGTTCGAAGCCATTGTTCTGCATCCTAGTCTCCAGGGCAGCAGAAAACAATCTTGCTCCCTCCTCCCTGTGACTTCCTCTCATATATTTATACATATTTATACAGCTTTGGATGTCATGTATAGGAATATGTTTCCTAAAGATGATAGATGAAGGCAGGATCATAGAAAGTGTGGCCCTCCAGATGTTAGTGAACTACAGCTCCCATAATGTCTCATCCTTGGCTGTGGCATGTGATGAAAGATGAGAATTGCATTCTGACGACATCTGAATGGCTTCACCTTCCCATACACTAAAACGAGGAGCTGTAACAAGAAAAACATCCAAAGATGGTGTCATACAGTGACTGCTATGAGGCCATGAAGAAGAGAGACCTGGAGAGGGGAATTCATGTGCAGATGAAATACATCTGCTATCCTTCATCCAGACAACTAGTCTGACATAGTATAATCCTTAATCTGCTCCATCATTCCTAAAAGTTGTCCATAGTGATGACCTACCTGCATGATCGAACAAACTAATTCAAAATTATTATTAAGTAAAAAGAGTCGTGGTTTGAGTTGCCCTGGGACTGTGTATGTTATTTTCTGAAATATTGGATTGCTGTGCTTGACACGGCATAATAATTTTTGTGGGATTTCTCTCACCAGATAGACTGCCTCAGCCCTGCAAACCATCAGAGGCTCTGTGTCTTGTTCAGCAGCTCTTCAGCCCAATCCAGCAATGCTCCAAGTGCCTGCGTTAGCCCATGGTGTGGAAACAATTTATTCTTCTAATTCTCATTTGCTTTTCTGATTAATTTCTATGTGTATTATTATTATTATTATTATTATTATTATTATTATTATTATTATCATTTTCCAAATACGTCTGCTGTTATCACAGCTAGGTAAGTTCATTAATTCAGTATTATATTGAATAATGTCAATATTCAATATAATACTACTACTTGTACCCATTGTACCTAAAGAGTAATTTCCCCAAATGTTAAAGCATCCATGCTCTCCTGCTTGTTTTAAATATAAATAAGAGAATCATACTGGTTGACTGCAGAAGTTTGCAGAAGACCTAGCTAAGTCTTGGCTGAGCAATTTGCTGATAAATACTTCCTTATAATTCCCATTTTAGTGAAAGTGGAGATTCTGTGCCACACTTAGGCATCTTTAAGGCATTGCTGTGTATTCTATGACTTTGCCCTACAAACGTTCTGAAATGATTTGAAGAATAATTGCTTTATTCTCATTTACTTTAGGATGGTGGTAATGGAGTTTTATGGAAAGAATGACCTCACTTTGGGTGTGTTTTTAGAAAGGTATTGCTTCAGGTGAGAATTATTATTTGACCTAGACTTTGAAACTCTATTGAAAACACAATGCAGTTGGCCCTTCACATTTGCAGGATTGGGATTTCTAGATTGGATTCACAGGGCTTCCTCGCAGAGCTGGTTTGTCAATAGGGTTTACTGTTCCTCCCCCTTTCCTGAATTGGTAGAAGAGGGAGTGATGAGCAGCAGTGACCCCCTTTTCCAACCAGCCCTGGAAGCCTAGGGAGAGTGAAGGAGCAGTGAGCCACCCCACCCATCTGTTCCTTTAAGGAGGCCTTTATCCACTCCTGAAGATAGTCTCTTTTTCCACTTGTACTCTTAATCCCTGCAAATGTGGAGGGTATTGTAGTTCATTGGAGGATCGATCTTGTTGTTTTAATAGTGCTTTTCACCCCTCTACAGGAAGGATTTTTATTCATTTGTAATGCTTTTTATCCCACTTTTCTTTTTAGAGGACCAATATGGTATGAGATCCACATTTTAGGAAGGTCCATACTTCAGTGGCAGACCTTTCTTTATAGGTAGAAGGTCAAAGGTGTCAGCAATGTTAGAGAGGCTTTTCTGTAGCTATGTCCTTGAAGGATAATAGGCATAGTAAGTGTCAGTGTGATATGGACACAAGAGGTTGTCCGAGTTTATGGCATGATGGTTGTTCGTTATTATGTTTTTATGCCCATATTTTCTTTGAACTGTTTATTACTCTTTGTTGCATAACTATTATTTATTTATTTTTTGGAACCTGATTCAGATGCCCTGTAATGGTGTAGAAATATATATAGATCAGGAGGGTGTGAGGAATGCAAACCAAAACATTTGTGAATGATTTGGGATGCTTTTGGCTAAAAAGTTGGTCTGATTATTAAAATAAAGATTGGGGGAGTTTTTAAGAGGTCAGGGACTCAAAATGCCACATTTGCAAGTGATTCGGGGTGCCCTCTTTAAAATAAAATGGGTCTGGGATCTATAGGGGGCATATGTAGGCTGTAACCACACTTTAGCCAGACTCAGATTTCATAGAATCATAGAATCAAAGAGTTGGAAGAGACCTCATGGGCCATCCAGTCCAACCTCCTGCCAAGAAGCAGGATATTGCATTCAAATCACCCCTGACAGATGGCCATCCAGCCTGTTTAAAAGCTTCCAAAGAAGGAGCCTCCACCACACTCCGGGGCAGAGAGTTCCACTGCTGAATGGCTCTCACAGTCAGGAAATTCTTCCTCATGTTCAGGTGGAATCTCCTTTCTTGTAGTTTGAAGCCATTATTTCATGTCCTAGTCTCCAGGGCAGAGGAAAACATGCTTGCTCCTTTCTCCCTGTGACTTCCTCTCACATATTTATACATATTTATACATATTTATACAGCTTAATGAGAAAGTCTGTGGATGTTATGTACAGGAATATGTTTCCTAAAGATGATAGATGAAGGCAGGATCATAGATAGTGTGGCTCTTCAGATGTTAGTGAACTACAGCTCCCATGATGTCTCATCCTTGGCTGTGGCGTGTGATGAAAGATGAGAATTGCATTTTGACAACATCTGAATGGCTTCACCTTCCCATACACTAAAACGAGGAGCTATAACATGTCCTAGTCTCCAGGGCAGCAGAAAACAAGCTTGCTCCCTCCTCCCTGTGGCTTCCTCTCACATATTTATACATGGCTATCATATCTCCTCTCAGCCTTCTCAGCCTTAAATCATATCATCTGGAGGACGAATAGTGCTATGTTTATTGCAGCTGTCCTTTAAGGCTTGGAAAAGGGTGATTGTACTAGGCGGAGACATGAATATCGTTTGTGGAAAATGGACAGTAGAAATATAAAGACTCAGACTTACAGAACGAGTCCTTGTAATATTAAGATAAACCTTAGAATGATGGATAGCATGAAATAAAATAAGGAGAAAGGGTATTATCGAGGAACTTTCCCAACCTGCTGCCTTCCACATCTTTATGACAACTCTCAGAATCCTTCACCATTGGTTATTTGGTCAGTGGACAGTTGTAGGAGAGTCACTTGTAGTTGTAAATTTGACCAATGCTGGTGTATAGCATCATATTGTATATGATGACTGAAATCTGAAATATGCTTTTTTCATCGTTCTTTGTTGTCCAAAGGCCTTCCTATCAGTGCCCGAGCATGTTCTGTGAAACACCGATGGTGCACCACATCCGTCGTTTTGTTCACGGCCAAGGTTGTGTGCAGATTATATTGAAAGAACTAGACTCTCCAGTGCCTGGTTATCAGCACACTATTCTTACCTACTCCTGGTGCAGAATATGCAAGCAGGTAACAAGATCCCCAAAATCCATTTTCAAAACTGTTGAATCATAAAGAAGATTTTGAGGGCAGATGGGTATAAGCATGGATACAGGCAAATGTAGAAGAAACTAAAGGTTGACCAGTGTGTGTGGAAGCCATTTAAAATACACAAGGATGCCTCTAAAACATCGCATAGCATATCTGCAAGTAATTATTCTTTAAAAGGAATGTATAAAGAGTCAACTTATACCTCTTAATAAGATGGACGTGTAAGCTGGGATGGCATCCATATTCATTCATAATGCGTGGAGACAACCTTCCTAAACAAAGGGACTTTGTAAACAGTTACAAAACACTTGGGATTCGTAGTCTCACCTGAAATGGTTAAAGCACAAGATATCTGGTTTGAGTATAATTTTTGTGTACCTCACTAATCTACTTTACCTTTTCCAGGTAACACCAGTTGTTCCACTTTCCAATGACTCATGGTCTATGTCTTTTGCCAAATACCTCGAACTCCGTTTTTATGGGCACCAGTATAGCCGAAGGGCTAATGCCGAGCCATGTGGCCACTCCATACATCATGACTACCATCAGTATTTCTCCTATAATCAAATGGTTGCCTCTTTTAGGTAAGACTCCAGGTTCCTTTTCTCCTAAGATTAAACCCCTTTACTTACAGAATTGATTTCTGTTCTATACTGGTGTTTTTATATATATATATAAATAAAAATATTTATTACCTTGTAGCTGTGGACAAGTCAACATAGGGCCCACCAAACACATATTATTTGAGAACACAGAAATGCTGGACTTCTCTAACAACTACCATGTCAGATTACACAGAGAAGTCATTGAAATTGACAAGCATGTGGGCAATTTGAACAGAAAGGAAGAAACCATGAAAATGAACAAAATCTGGCTACCAGTATTAAACACTCTAAAATCAGGACAGCAAATAAAAAGCAACACAAAAAAGAGGGGAATTTCAGACATGAAACAATCAGGGCCAGCTAACACCGCTCAACAAAGGATCCCCTAGACAGGAAGCAGCCAGGCTTTGAAGCTGCAAGGCCATTAAATACTAATCCAGGTGGCCAGTTTCAAAATTCACACTTGCCTCAAGCAGACAAGAGTTCTTTCTCCCACCCTGGACATTCCACAGATATATAACCCCCATTTTCTTAGTTTCCAACAGACCTCACAACCGCTGAGGATGCCTGCCATAGATGTGGGCGAAACGTCAGGAGAGAATGCTTCTGGAACATGGCCATACAGCCCGGAAAACTGACATCAACCCAACCCTTCTTTTTCCATATATTCTGAATAAAACAGAAGGTTCCAATTACAAAGATTTCACAGCATTTCTCTATGGTCAAATAGCAGTCACTTAGTCCTTTTTCATTGTTGAGCAATTAGACGGAGATGCTGTACCTCAATATTCATGATTTTCTCGCTTGTTCCTGGCTTTTATCAGAAAAGATGGCAGCTATGTTTTACTGGAGAGAAGTCCTTTTCCACAAATGTTTCAGTGGTAACTGTACTGACTCCACTAGTGCTGTGTGCCATATCCATTCAATCCCCTGCTGTAACTGCTCTTGATATTGCAGGCCTTTTGCATGGGATTGCTAGTGCTGTCTTACAGGGGCAGCCCAGGAAGAGGCTAAATTCCAAAAAGGGCTTGAGGACCACGATTCCCTTGACGGTGTGATGTTTCAAGCTTGACTGACACGAATAAGGCCTTGTGTTTTAAATATGTTCAATCTTTTCTTTCCAGCTATTCTCCTATCCGATTGCTGGAGGTGTGCGTCCCACACCCCAAGATCTACATAAAACGCCAGGTGCCTCAAAAGGTTGCCATGCTTCAAGATCTGAAGGACTTGTCTCAAAAGTAAGGACTTTATTATGTTTCCCAGCGTGAAGTTCTATTATGGTTCGGCTGTTGCTTTGTATTCAAGCGCAGCTAGTAATTCTACTTCTTAGTAGGATATGTGATGCCCATTGCATAGCCTAAAATGTGAGGACTTTTGTTGCATTTCTTTCCAAAGGTGATGGGACAATCCCTGATATTTCTGTGCAGTTCTTCTAAGGTTCCCAGGGACTGCCTGCACACTGTTACGTATTGTGTGTCATATTTGCAGTATTGTTGCTTTCTCCTACTATTTGCTTTTCTCTTCTTTAGCACTGAGATTATCAAGAAATTGATTATTGACCAGGTTTTTTTCTTCCCATATTTTGCCAGTATTATAGTCCTAAATACATTTCTTTTTTTTTTAATATTTTTTTTATTAAACAGTTTGAAACATAAATACATTGAAAGAGGGGGAATATTCAGAGAGAAGATAGAAAAGTAGGAAATACAATCAATAAAAAAATAAAATAAAAAAATACCAAAATACAAAAATCAAAAATAAAAATAAAATAAAATGACTTCCATTCCATTCTTCTTATCTTTTATTTCATTGTTATTTACCTCTTCTTTGTTTCTTTCTCTTCTCTTCTTTTCATAGTCATAAAAAAGAAGCCAGTCTGTCTTTTTTTTTTAATATAGATTTCCCGGTATTTTTCTTTAGCAAAAAAGTTAACTCATCCATGTCACTTATCTCTTTAACCTTATCCACCCACTCATCCACCGTGGGGATTTGTTCTTTTCCCCAAGATTTAGCAAATATAATTCTAGCCACTGTTGTAATAAATCTTCATTTTTATCCAATTGTAATTCCAAGTCAGTAAAGCCCAACAAATAATATTCTGGTTTTTTCTTGAACTTTTTATTTAATTTTTTTTGTGTTTCCTTGTGGATTAAAGACCAATATTTGGTTGTTTCCTTGCATGTCCACCACATATGATAGAATGTACCTACTTCTTCACAACATTTCCAGCACTTATCCGATGTATTTTTATACATATGGCTTAATTTTTTTGGAGTGGTGTACCATCTGTGGAACATTTTAAACCAGTTCTCCTTTAAATCCATAGCATAAGTATATTTTAACTTTTTGTTCCACATTTGTTCCCACTCCCTGAATTGGATTGGCCTCCTTAAATTTTCCGCCCACTTAATCATACAAGATTAAGTTCTTTTTCTGTTGTCCATGATAGTAATTTATTATAGATCATTGTAACTATTTTCCTTTCCATCTTCAAAATTTTATCCCATATATTTTCTTCCCAGTCAAATCCTGTTTTTTTTATCTTGTTTATAGTAATCTTTGATTTGTAAATAATGAAGCCATGTTATATTTTTGTAGTTTGTCTTCAGTTGTTCAAAAGTCTTGATATCCATTGTGCCTTTAATTAAAATATCTTTGTATGTCGGCCATATTCTCCAACCTAAAAGTCTCCTAAATACATTTCTTGCGTTCCCAGTCCTCGGTTGTGAAAACAAAATGAAGCATTTCTAGACTATTTCATCTCTAAGCTGAGTGAGCAAGCAGACAGTCAGCAATTCTTCTGTCAGAAATGTTATAACTGTTTACAAAGTTCCAGTAAAGAGGTAGAGGCACAAATAGAGGGCAAAGGGGAGAAATGTGCCAAGAGGAAGGTGCATCAAGCATACCATTGTTGCGACTGCTTTTCATCTGGAAATGTATGCCTTCACTGTGAAAGATTATGCAGATCAAGAACAGATCTCTACAGTCATTTGGAAACCCACCACCAAGACTCTATACATGGAAGACAATCATTCTTGCCTATGATGAGTGATCAGCATTCATTTCTTTCAGCTGTTATCCTATTTACCCCAAAATAAGTGCTACTCAGAAAATAAGTCCTAGCATGCTTTTTTCAGGATGCTCTTAATATAAGCCCCAATTAAGATAATCGGCCAGACAGATGCATTTACTCATAGTACATCCGTTGCAACACATGATGGGTGTATTGAATTGTAAAATAATTATATTAATAAAATAACAACAACAACAACTTTGTAGACCACCCTCTCTCTCCAAGGGGACTCAGGGCAGTTTACACACAAAAAAGGCAAACATTCAATGCTTTTAGCAAATACAAACATCTCAGAGTAGTACAAAGAAATACAAAATAATAACCATAAACTTATAACAAGTGCATAAAAATGTCTGCCAGAGTTATTGCCATGGCAGCAATGGAATACAGATAAGTTAACCACCATTCCAATGGAATTAAAAGTGCCCTGGTCCTCTCTCCACACACTAAGTATAAAAAATAATAATATAAAATTCAGTATAAATAACTAATATTATTAACAAAATATTGTGACGCTGTTTCAGAGGAGGATGACATGACTGCATTTGAATAAATGTAGATTATTGTAAATGAATAAGTGTAGATTATTATACCTGAAAAAAATAACCCCTACTGCATGTTTTGGACCAAAAATTAATATAAGCCCCAGCCTTATTTTCGGGGACATCCAGTACTACTACTAGCAGAAATAAATTGTGGAGTGAAGTGCATCGCAAGCGCGATTGGTGGGGACGAGGGATAGGGCTTTCTCGGTGGTGGCCCCTCGACTCTGGAACTCTCTGCCTAAGGACATCAGGCAGGCCCCGTCGCTACCAATCTTTAGGAGGAGCTTGAAAACGTGGTTGTTCCAGTGTGCCTTCCCAGAATAAGGAAACTCCTAGCATTATGTCCCAACGCACTTTATCAGAGATCTAGGATATCTGCATGCTCATCCCCCTCCAAACACTCCACCTGGTCACGCCCAGCACTTTTTAATTTTAATTATTACATTTGGTCCTGCCATTGATTTTAATTGCGTCATTGGGTGTTGTTAATGTCATTGCTTGGTTTTTTGAGTTATTTTGCTGTTGTTGTTAATTGTTTTTACTATTGTATTTGGGCTCGGCCTCTTGTAAGCCGCACCGAGTTCTTTGGGAGATGTAGCGGGGTACAAATAAAGTATTATTATTATTATTATTATTATTATTATTATTATTTTAATAAAATTATACTTGCACATAGGGATATAAGGCATTCTTATCATGCAATGGGTAGTCATAAGTAGAAGATAATAGACAACAGCAAAAATAGCCTTTAATGCAGTCATAGATTATTAGACAACATATAGAATACATATTAAAAATAGCACTGTTAAAATTATTACTATTATACAGTTAAATGTAAAACACCATTTGCAAGATATGTTAGTCATTATAAAATTGCACACTATTAAAAAGAGAGGTAATGTTAGATATTAGAAAAAGTAGATGGTTCCCCTCGAGTCTTTGATCTAAACTGTCCTTTGTTGTTGTAGAGTGTCTCAGGTATATATTGCTGTTGATGAGCGCCTCACATCTCTGAAAACAGATACCTTTAGTAAAACCAGAGAGGAGAAGATGGAGGATCTTTTTGCCCAAAAGGAGGTAATAATACTTTTTTTGATCCATACAGTAGGGGAAAGCATGCTGACCCCATTAATATTAAAAAATTGAAATATTCAGTACTCCATTTCTCACTTCATAATTGCAATTTTGTTTCTTTCCTTTACTAGATGGAAGAAGTTGAGTTTCGAAACTGGATAGAGAAAATCCAAGCAAGGATGCTTTCTTCGTCACTTGACACTCCCCAGCAACTGCACTCAGTTGCCGAGTCTCTGGTAGCCAAAAAGCAAAGTCTCTGTGAGATGTTGCAAGCTTGGAATAACAGGTGAGAGACTAGCAGTCTTCCTTCTCTAATGAGCCCTGGTTGGGTTATATTACAGGACTGGCTCCCAAATGCCGGCTGAGATCTTTTTGCACGGCACCCAGTGTGCCAACGACCACTGGGACCACCTGTACTGGTTTATGCCAGAGCCTTTGCAGTTCGATTTTGAGGTCCTGATAATGGCTGAGTTTTTCCTGTTGTTTTACCTCAATGCAACTGTCGCCTGAATGGCGATATCAATAATCCAGACTTTTTCCATGAGATGCCACATTATTTTCCACGACCTTAGCGGGTTTATGATCCCACCAATTTTTTACTGCTGGTAGTGATACTTGTGATGTAAGTTCCAGTGAATCATCTGGGCCACAGAGTTGTGCCTCTGTTTGTAGTCCGTCTGTGCGATTTTCTTGCAACAGCTGAGGATATGATCAATGGTTTCATCAGCTTCCTTGTCCAGTCTGCATTTTGGGTCATCAGCTGATTTTTCAATCCTGGCCTTCATGGCATTTGTTGTGATGGCTTGCTCCTGGGCTGCAAGAATCAGGCCTTCTGTCTCCTTCTTCAGGGTTCCATTCGTGAGCCATAACCAGGTCTTCTCCTTGTCAACTTTTCCATCAATTTTGTCAAGGAACTGCCCATGCAGTGCTTTGTTGTGCCAGCTGTTAGCTCTGGTTCAGAGTGCAGTCGTCTTCTTCTTCTTCTTCTTCTTCTTCTTCTTCTTCTTCTTCTTCTTCTCCTCCTCCTCCTCCTCCTCCTCCTCCTCCTCCTCCTCCTCCTCCTCCTCCTCCTCCTCCTCCTTCTTCTTTTGCTTCTTCGTCTTCTTCTTATTATTATTATTAAATGATGCACTGATTCACAGGAGAGAATAATTCACTAATGGAGTGCAGCACCTCCCACATCCAGCGGTAGAGTTGGGTCCCCAAACAAATTCAGCTGACAAATATCCCACTGTTGGATATATGGGAAGCCTTTGAACTGAGGCGCACTCTTCAATATGAGGTCAATAAAAAGGGTTGCATAGTGCAGAAGCAGACAAAATCAAAGTGCATATATGTGAGCAATCTCTCCCCAATAGCTGTGTGAATGCCAAAAGTATACAAAAAGGATATTAATGCAAGTTACTCATTTCATGCCACTGGGCAGCTGTGAGTGTTTGATTCTGACAAGGACTCGAAAACCATCTGCCTGGTGACAGAGACCCAGAAAAGCAATTCCTAATTATTGGGTTTATTTTCAAAAAAGGTCTCAAATAAATACCAACAACAGCAAGAAAACAACTTGTGAATTAATGAGACATTTGGCATATTTGAAATTAGAAGCAACAAGGAGCAAGTGTGCTTAGAGATGTTGCCCAGCGATTAGCTATGGAACTATTAAAATAAACACTTCAAATGTATCTTTACGCTAGGACTGTTTTGGATGTTAATTACATTTAGCAATACAGTGCTTAAAGAGATGTAGCCCAGGATCGGCTGTGGACTTGAAATGAAGCTGTGTGCTAGGACTGTTTAGAATGGTAATTACTAGTGATGTGAAATGGACCACTCAACTCTGCCTCTTCTGTACTGTGGATAAATTCAAAGCCTCAGAGTGATTATGTTGTTAGCTCAGTGGGACCTTTCTGAAGGACTGTGGCCATATCAATTTAGCGGAAATTGGATAGATTAACTGTACTTGGTACCATCTAAATAATGTGCCGAAGACATTGAGAATCTTTAGCCTGTGAGTTTAATCCTGCATCCTGGGATCTGTAATCCAACTTGAATAGCTTTGTAGAGATTCATCATGAGCTGGATCATTTTAGAAAATGTGCAAAATCAGCCAAGTCTTTGCTGCTTTCATCTTCTACAGTACATGCAGGGTAGCCAAGGGATCAGCAAAATCAGTCACCCTTAGCTGGTGTTTTAAGAGCCATCTGAGTACCAGTCATGGAAATTAGCATTCTCAATGTGCTTTCTGAAGTGTATTCTTCTCCATGATGGGGGAGTGATGTAGGGACTGAATGGAATCACTAGATGTAGAAGATCCAGCTAAAACTTGGGCCAGGTGGTCAAAGTTTTAGCTGACATCATCTGACCAACACAGGAGGTTTTGGGGTGAACACGTTTGGCCCCTCACCACCCTGGAAAGGTCCCTCACCCCTTGTTTCCTGGAAAATGAAGGCTTCTGGTTTGATTGAGTCCCCTTGGGGAGATAGGGAGGCCTACAATTATTATTATTATTATTATTGTTATTATTATTATTAGTAGTAGTATTAGTATTCTGACACAAAAACACAGTATGTCACAGCAAACGAGATCTATATGTTGGATTATTATTATTATTATTATTATTATTATTATTAGTGTTATTAGTGTTATTTTTGTTTACCTTGTTATATTAGTCATCATAATAACATGAACCCATTATAGGTTACAGGATCTCTTCCAGCAAGAGAAAGGGAGGAAACGTCCTTCTGTACCACCTAGTCCTGGAAGACTGAGGCAAGGTGAAGAGAGTAAGGTAATGAGTTCAATTGCTTGCATTGCCAAATTTAAAGTGGTGGATGTAACTATACTTGAAAGAAAAGGCTGGTAGTCTTATTGCTAACAAATTATCCTTACATTGGGCCTTTTAATAATTTCTGACAACCCAGGGGACCCCACTATGCCATCATCATGATGGGAAAGAAAATCTGACCATACATGGCAAACTAATCTGCAGTTGATATGGGTCATGAAAATTATAAGCATACAAAGACATTTCTCAAGGAGCTGTAAGCTTACCCCGCCTCTTTTATTAGAACATACTTTGGTAGTGCTCTCAAAGTTCAGAAGTGAATTTCAATTCAGTTAGAATTCGTAGTTCTTAATAGAAGGAAGAAAGGAGTTTTGTCCGGGCTATTTTTTCTCCTTTGTTGGTTTAATACTCTTGCATTGGCACTGCATGATGCTGCTACACATTCTTAACGTTGAGTGTGTATGGCAGAGGGTAAGACTTTGTCCTTCAGACTATAGAAGGTGCTTGAGGGCTTCTAGAGAAGAAATAAGAAGAAGAGTTTTCCTTAGATCTTAGTCCAGTGAATGAAAACAAGCATGTTCTTTCACTGCATTGGGAAAATGTTCCAATCTTCCACATCCTCTTCCCAATTGGAGAAGATCCAAGAGGGTGTATTTGAAAATAAAACAATGAAGTGTCACTCATGCTTCTTCACCCATCATTTCTCTTCTCGGGCATCCTAAAGGAAAAAGAGGCATGAAGTGAATTTCGATTGGACATCTCTTAAAACAATGCACAATCTGGAAGTAGTTTGAATTGCATCCCAGTGGGCATGTAGTGATTGACTGGCCCGCTCTATATAAAAATAACTTGGCTGACTGACAATGGAATGGACTAACTAGTTACTAACTGGAGCGACTTACAGGGATTGGTCAACCCTCCTGTTTAAGGAGCTCCATTGACTGCCGTTCATTTTCCGGTCCCAATTCAAGGTGCGGGTTCTTACCCTGAACGGTTTGGGACCCACCTACCTGTGTGACCGCATTTCTGTGTACGAACCCATGCAATCTCTTCGATCATCTGGAGAGGCCCTGCTCTCGCTCCCACCCCCTTTGCAGGCGCGATTGGTGGGGACGAGGGAGAAGGCCTCTCTATGGTGGCCCCCTGACTCTAGAACTCACTCCCCAAGGATATCAAGCAAGCCCCCACATTGGCAGTCTTTAGGAGGAGCCTGAAAACGTGGCTGTTCCAKTGTGCCTTCCCTGAATAAAGGAAACAATGCCTTGCTCTGACCAATTCCCTAGAAAATGTCCTCAGAAGCACTTTAACTACCCATTGGGTTGCTCTCCCTACATTTCCTTTAAAACCCTCTGCTTAGATACATCCTACCTCTGTTCACGCCCAGTGTTTATTTTAAAATTTTAAACTATTACATCTGGCCCAGCCATTGGTTTTTAAWTTTTTTAAATTTTTGTGTGTTATTGCCTATATGTGAGTTATATTAATTGTGTTATTTGCTTATTGCTTTGTTGTTTTACTGATGTGTTTTTGGGCTTGACCTCATGTAAGCCGCCCCGAGTCCCCTTGGGGAGATGGTRGCGGGGTATAAATAAATTATTATTATTATTATTATTATTATTATTATTATTATTATTATTATTATGGACAAGCTGGAACTTGTATTCAAGCCTCCATAGCCAAGATCTAGGTATTAATATGTGAATCTAGCATACAGATTTTACTGAAAGAATAAAATAATCTTATGCTCTAACTTTTAAGCATATCATCTTATAGAATCCACTTAAACTTGCTTCCTAATTGGTGAAGGTATATAATAGTGCCAATTCCTCTTGCCCAGTATCACTCAGTAAGTTCCTTCGGCCAAGTGGAGACCTGAACCTTTGTCTCACAATGCCCAGTTTAACACTCGAGTACCCAAGCCATTTCACCATATTGGCTCTCAGGGAACCCCAAATACCAATACAAATGTATAAAATCACTATTTTGGCTTGGTTGAATAGATTTGGAATACTCTGCAACCCTCATATCCATGAGACTGGAATCTGCAATTTCATTTATTCATATCCATATATCCTCTCTAGGAATTTTGTAGTTCTCTTGGGACTCATTTCAATAAAGTTTGCTATTATTTCGCATATCCATGGAACTTTAATCCCTCCACATAGAGGGGCTGTACAACATGTAATTCTTGTTGGTAGAGAGACCCAACTATTGAGTTTTGGAGCTGAAAGAAAATTTGGGTAGGAATATTGTCTACAAAGAAAGAATCATGGTCGTTAAGGTGAGACAAAAGAAATGTGAATATAAAATAGCAACAAGAAACAAAACACTGTATTTTATATTACAGATCAGTTCAATGGACGCATCTCCACGGAACGTTTCTCCAGCACTACAAAATGGAGATAAAGGTATGTTTATTTATTTTACAAAGCTTCGGTCTTTCACACAAACTGTGATATTACATTGGAACATCTCTTTGCATGTTTACAGTTTCCTTGTTCTAGTATAGTTGAATTTTCTCTGGATTTTATTCTCTATTCTGTCCCAAAGGCCAATTTCCCTTTGTTTAAGAGTGTGGAAGTAACCTGCCTTGTAGGAAAATGAGATGTCTTTCAGGATAATAGGCTTATACTCATATCTTTGTGACTACTGTAGATTCCACTTTTTGAAATGTTTAGCTAACATCTCTTTCCTATTCTCTCTCTCTCCCTCCCTCTTTTTCTGAAGGAGTTTAAATTAATCTTTGGAGGCCATTCAGGGCTGTGTTGATCGTACATAAAGTATTTCCTTGTGTATATTTTTACTTAACAGAGGATCGTTTCCTGACCACCTTGTCAAGTCAGAGCTCCACAAGCTCTTCTCTCCTCCAGCTTCCAACCCCTCCTGAAGTCACATCTGACCAGTTTGCCCACACGCTCTCGGAACAAGACACGGCCACCGGCTCAGAAGGTATTGGCCCTGGTCTCTTCCCTTTTTTGTTTTCTTCTCCTGTGTTTGCTGTTGCTTTCATATCAAACTGGCTGTTTTTTTTCTTGTACACTTATCACCAACAGAGTTCCTTCTGGCTGTGTTGGACTACAACTCCCATCCGCCCAGCTAATATGGCCAGATAGGGATTATGGAAGTTGCAGTCTAAAATACATAGAAGCCTAAGAGTTGGGGATTGGTGCTGTAATGTTTGTCATAAATGTGCTGTGTACTGTAGGAAGACAGAAGAAGAAAAAACAGAAGCTGATTTATTTAACAATGTAGTGCTTGGAGAAATGGGGCAGAGGGAGATATTTTAAAGGTGGATTTAGCACCAATTGTAATAAGTATCCAAAGGAATACTGTATATAAGGTATGGAGCACCGCGGGCCTGTGTAGTGTTCCTGGATCTTTTGCTTATAAACTTATTTTAATTATGTATTTAACGAACGGATTAGCATTTATTTCTCTCAGAAAAACTATATGATTGTTAATACTTCATAACTGATGCAATACAGGACATAATGTTCTGGCAAAAAAAGTTAGTTCTGCAGATTTAATTGGCACTTACTAGTCTTTTACTGTTTTTCTTTAAATTAATGAAATGACTGAAAGCGCCTTGGTTTTGAACTCACTATGTAGCCTTGAGCAATCCACAGTGTGCTGGTTCCTGCATTAGCCTTACAGGGGATAATAGTATGGATGCTTCTTAGATGGCTTTTTTGAGAATTACCATCAGTTTGTATAAAGTACATTGAACACTTATAGCTATATATATATTTATTTGCTTGCTCTGCCTTGCCTCTAATGAGGAAGTTTCTAATCATCACTACTAGAAGGAATCCAGAAGTGTATGGAAATTTCCTAACAATACTACTACTACTACTACTACTACTATTAATAATAATAATAATAATAACAATAATAATTTCATTTCTTATCCATCTCTCCTCACAGCTTGAGGTGGGTTACAACATTTCTAAATCACATAATCAAAACGCATAATAATTTACTTTGTATGTTTTGTAATGTTACCTGGCAACCGCTCTGAGTCCCCTCGGGGAGATGGAGCAGTATAAAAATAATAATAATAATAATAATAATAATAATAATTATTATTATTATTATTATTATTATTATTACTAAGGTACCCATTAAACCATAAACCATAATTTGTGGTTAGTTGTCACTTATTAGCTCTTGTAGAGTTCAGCTGTCTGAAATGTTCATGTTTCATCAGTCTGTACGGTGTTTTATCTGAAAGACTCTTGTATCTTGACCTAGTTAATAGTCATTTCACTATCTTCACTTGATCAGACAGGGAAGAATACTTATCAGTCATTATAGCTGAAGTGTCCATATAAAAGAGAGACTCAGTGGGTTTCTGTTCACTTCCCCAAAGCAACCATTTTAAGTAAATTGTACAGATCTTATGGTTAATGTTTTTTTAAAGCAATATATAAATGTGTTTTTAAATTCCAGATGTATTTGATGGGCACTTGCTGGGATCCACAGACAGCCAGGTGAAAGAGAAATCCACTATGAAGGCTATTCTTGCAAATCTGTTGCCTGGAAATAGCTACAATCCCATCCCATCTCCTTTGTAAGTTTTAGTGGCATTACTATCAAGAAAATACATAGTGTCCCAAAAGTCACCATACATAGGGGAAATGGGAAATTGTAGTTAAATGTACCTATATTTACAAAATTATCATTGCATAATATCATAATATCATTGCAAAATTATCATTGAACCACCTAAACTGGGCTGTACAGGCCAATGGATACTCCACCTCAGACATCAGAAGAACTGCAAAACCGAGAACAAACCACGAGAGTAAAGATGAAGATCCACCCAGAGGAAAAGTGTTCCTGCCATACATCAAGGGAACCACTGACCGCATAGGGAAACTGATGAGGAAACACAACATACAAACCACTTACAGACCCACCAAGAAAATCCAACAAATGCTACGTTCAGCAAAGGACAAGATGGATCCTCTCACCTCTGCAGGAGTCTACCGTATACCATGCAGCTGTGGACAAGTCTACATAGGGACCACCAAACGCAGCGCCAAACACGAATCAAGGAACATGAAAGGCACTGCAGACTACTTCAACCAGAGAAGTCAGCCATAGCAGAGCACCTGATGAACCAACCTGGACACAGCATATTATTTGAGAACACAGAAATGCTGGACCACTCTCTCAACCACCATGTCAGACTACACAGAGAAGCCATTGAAATCCACAAGCATGTGGACAATTTCAACAGAAAGAGAAGAAACCATGAAAATGAACAAAATCTGGCTACCAGTATTAAAAAACTCTAAAATTACAACAGCAAAACAACAGAGGGGAAACAAACAGGCACATAAAATCACTCTCAAAAGATTCCCCCCAGGCACTTCCAAGCCATTGAATGCTAATCAAGGTGATCAGCTGAAACATTCACACCTAGCCCCAGCAGACAAAAGTCCTTTGTCTCACCCTGGTCATTCCACAGATATATAAACCCATTTTTCCTACTTCCAACAGACCTCACTACCTCTGAGGATGCTTGCCATAGATGCAGGCGAAACGTCAGGAGAAAAATTGCCTCCAGAACATGGCCATATAGCCCGGAAAAACCTACAACAATCCAGTGATTCCGGCCATGAAAGCCTTCAACAATACATTATCATTGCATAATTTAACTTTTTTTTACAAAATATTCTCTACATGTTGATCACCTCTTTTAATAAAAATATTAAAAAATATATAAATAAAGTTTATTTTTTCTGATGTGTGAGGACTTTGGGGACACTGTAGTGTGTGTACAATGTATTATTTTGATACAGACAAATGTTGTGTCATTTTGCTGGGAAATAATTCTCAGCAAAATGTCCTCATAAGCACTTTAACTACTTGTTGGGTTGCTCTCCCTTCATTTCTTTTAAAACCCTCCTTCCAGATACATCATTCCTAGCATTTATTTTTAAAATTTTTAAACTATTACATTTGGCCTGGCCATAGGTTTTTAAAATCTTTGCGTGTTATTGTTTATATTTGAGTATATTAATTGTATTGTTTTATTTGCTTATTGTTTTTTGTTTTATTGATGTGTTGTCGGGCTTGGCCTCATGTAAGCTGCTCCGAGTCCCCTTGGGGAGATGGTGGCGGGTATAAATAAATACTACTATTATTATTATTATTATTATTATTATTATTATTATTATTATTGTGTCTTAACCGACCTGTGGTCAAGTGGAAGGTTAACGAAAGTTATACTTCTGTAATTATATGGGGGTTGAAATGGCTGTATTGCTGAGATTTAGGTGGTTTGCCATTTGTACCCACTCCTCATATAGTCAGATTTCACCATGATTATGTCTATTAGTCATATCTGAATTGGTATCTGGATTCAGGAATGGGCTGGATAAGGACCAGCATGCTGAATTTGAATTCTTGACATTATGGAGGTTCTGTATGTAGCAGATCACCTTATTCAGGAGTTGGGCATGCAAACTGTTCTAAATACTGCCATGTTCCCTGTGAAATAGCAGGTGTGTAACTTGCATGCAATTCTAGATATGACTTTATCACTTAAGGTTTGAGTCAGGCAAGGGTGATACAGAAATATAGAAAATAAAATAAATGTTGTCTATGAATACCCTTTTAAAACCTTCATTTAGGGTTCAATTACACTATTGAATTAACATGGCTTGGCATCAATTAAGCTGCCATAGTTTAATGCTGTGGAATTATGGGAACTGTAGTTTTGCAAACTCTTTATCCTTCTCTGCCAAAAGTGCTAGGGCCTCATCCAACTACAAATTCCAGGATTCTATCGCATTTAGCCATCGCATTTAAAGTGGGACAAAATTGCATTAATTCTACAGTGTAGATGAACAAAGATAGTGGTTGAGACAGTTCCTGCTGACTTTTTGTCAAGACTGCTGTAGCACATTGTTTGCAGGACTAACCTTCATAAATGTCTAGAATAGGGGTCCTAAAACTTTTAAAGCAGAGGGACGGTTCATGGTCCCTATTGGTAGGCAGTGGACTGACTATAGTTTGAAAGAAACATGAACAAATTCCAATGCACACTGCATATTGTATCTTATTTGTAGTGCAAAAATATGAAAGCACAGTATAATATTTAAAATGAAGAACAGTTTTAACCAACACATACTTACCAGCGGGAAGTGTGAGGCTGCTTTTGGTTGATGAGATAGTCAAATTAATGAGGATTATTGCTGTTGTGTCTTAAGGCGACCCTAAGTCTAAAGTTTGGGGCAAGGGCTGGGTAAATGAACCTGGTCTAGGGGCTTCTCTTGCTCAGAAAATTAAGCTAGTCAGGTTTATAGATGCAGACATCCCCACTGATTCTAAGCAAGGTACTCTGGTTGCTTCTAGTTCCAATTCAAAGTTCTGGCGCGTGCCTACAAACCCTGAGTAGTTTGGGATCCAAATGCCTACAGTAACACCTCTCTCCATCCACATGCCTGCCCATGTCTCATTACACTGCACAGTGCCTTAGAATGATAGAATCACACATAGAATGATGTAGGAATTTATTATTTTCGTTACGTCACTCAACTGAAGTTTCTGAGTGCCATTCAAGGACAGATGCATGCAGAGCCATCACAATGGTCCAAATGAGATTCGTATACTTTATTATTTTCAATAGTTGTAAGATGCCCTTCAGCAAGAGAAATAAAAGAGATGTGCAGGGAACAAATATAGCAAAAGCACTCAGGAGCTTTTCATGGGGAGTAATTGCTGCTAGAACTTTAACTGGGGCAAAGCGTGGGGCCAGTATGTCTCTTTTATTGTTTCAGCTACTCTGGCTACTCTGGCTGCAGGTTAGTTTCTCACTGCAATTCAGATTGCTAATTATCACCTTTTAACTCTAAATTATTTTTTACCTGGCTACTTGAAGGTCCATCTCCTCCCAAGTCATCCTGTCTGTCCCTCTTCTAGATCCAGGAAGCAGGGACAGATCAGTGGATAATCCGTGCATTGTGTGTAGGTTCAGTCTTTTCACATCTCCAGGGTTTTGAGGGTTTGCTTATTATTTATGCATTTTAATGTTAATCAATATTTTAAAATCATGTTTTTACTTTGTATTTTCAGGCTTGTCCCCTTGTAAGCCGCTTTGAGTCCCTTCTGGGATATGGTGGCAGGGTATAAAAATAAAGTTGTGGTTGTTATTATTATTATTTTGTTTAATATTGTATAAGCTGCTTTATTTGAGAAAAAAGGGGAGAAATGCATTTATATAAATTCTCAGTAAAAGGAGACCCTTGACTACCACCAGCACTTTAGATGACTGCCTATTAGCTTCTACTACAGCGTGAGCATCCTTTATATGGAATTCCAAAAAATACATCAAAATCTGAAATAATCCATATGGGTGGCTAAAATAGTGACACCTTTGCATCTATATGGAATCGCTGTCTATTTCATTTTGTTTCATTTGTTTGGCCCTGTTTTTGTTTTTGTTTATCGCTTCCAAAACATGGGATGCCTATCCAGATGAGCATTTTGTTCCGCATATGAAAGAATGAAAATTTTCAGACCATTGGTGGAAATGGGAGGGCTTCCCCTTCCCCTCAGTTTTAGGGCTAGAGGGGAAAATTGCTACACATGGAGGGCACATCTACCACTCTTTGCTTACAAAGTTTTATAATATTTGGGTCATCTCTCGATTTTTGGAGATTTTTTTTTCTTTCAATAAATAAAATGTCCTAGAAAACATAGCATGGTTTGTACTTATATCCTTCATTATGACCTCAATTAAAAAAGATTCCATTAATTCTGAGAAGTTTAACTCTCCATTTGCAGAAGAGAAGTGAGTGTAAAGGCAGGGCTTAAGATACCACATGTGATGCTTTCACTTCAGTCTGCAGAGCGGTGGTGGGAGAGGCAAGGCAAAGCAGGGCAAGGCAGGGAGCAGGCGAGGTGGATGGCGGATGTTCTTCTCCTCTGCAGATTGCCCCGACAAGCAGGGCTCAGCGGTCTGAAAACCAGACGACGAAATGGTTTCTGTTCTGCATTTCTGTGTACAAACCCACATAATCTCTTCGATCATCTGGAGAAGCCCTGCTCTCGCTCCCGCCCCCTTCTCAGGCGCGATTGGTGGGGACGAGGGAGAAGGCCTTCTCTGTGGTGGCCCCCCAACTTTGAAACTCACTTCCTAAGGATATCAGGCAAGCCCCCACATTGGCAGTCTTTAGGAGCCTGAAAACGTGGCTGTTCCAATGTGCCTTCCCTGAATAAGGAAATAATTCCCAGCAAAATGTCCTCAGAAGCACTTTAACTACTTGTTGGGTTGCTCTCCCTTCATTTCTTTTAAAACCCTCCTACCAGATACATCCTACCTCTGTTCATGCCCAGTGTTTATTTTTAAATTTTAAACTATTACATTTGGCCCGGCCATAGGTTTTTTAAATCCTTGCGTGTTATTGTTTATATGTGAGTTATATTAATTGTATTGCTTTTTGATTATTGCTTTTTGTTTTATTGATGTAATGTCGGGCTTGGCCTCATGTAAGCCGCTCCGAGTCCCTTGGGGAGATGGTGGCAGGGTATAAATAAAGATTATTATTATTATTATTATTATTATTACTTTCCTTTTCATTTCACTGTTTTTTTTTTCTATATTGGAAAGGAATGTACCATTCCATGCCATCTGAATGGATGGAACGAAATGGAAACACAAATTAATTGAATGATACAGATACCGGGCCCATGACTAGCAGACACCGTACTCCCATTGATGTAGTCTAGAATCACATCTTTGTAATGAGTTCAAGACAGGGAAGGCGAAAATGGCTAACAGGTTCTACTGCCTGAATATTTTCTGCAGTCTTTCTGTTTAAAAGGCAGTACATCAATCTGGGATGTCGAGCTTTAAATAGTTATCAGCAACAAAAATTGGTTGAGTCTAAGAATTTTGGATCCTTACCTATGTACTCTTAGCCAATGGGTCTACCTTAAGTAAAACTCTGTCTCACTCTGCCTGGTTTTGCCTTATTCTTGTACACACTTCCCTTCCTCTGGGAAATCAGGCCCTGTTTCTTCTTTTGGCCATAATTTATAGTTTGTCTTTTCTTTTTCATGTTTTTCATGCAGTGAGCCTGACAAGCATTACTTAATGTATGAGCATGAACGTGTTCCTATTGCAGTCTGTGAAAAAGAACCCAGCTCCATCATCGCCTTTGCTCTCAGGTATGTTGGTTAGTTAGAGCTTTTTTATTTATTCTTGCAACTTCCATATTTAGGAAGGGGAGTGCTAACTCTTCCTGGAGGCTTTTATACACAGTTTGACGTGACCTTGACTATACCAGCAGGTGGTATACAGTGGGTAATTGACTGTTAATGGAGCTCTTTCCTTGGACACGTAAGCAAGCCTGAACTTTTGGCAATTGGCTTTACACCCTGGTGATTTATCATGCTTCACATAGTAGATATTCTAATGTGAGTATAATCTGGTAACTCTTTTGTGTGCAGAAGAAAAAGGAGCTTAATGAGGCAGAGAAACATGGCATGTCTTTCTCTGTAAAACCTACAGTTCTAAGGGGATATAAAGCATCCAACATAGATGGCTGAAAACAGGCTTTTTTATGCCATTCTGTTGTCCTTTCCACTGAATATTCCCAGTACCATAATAGTAGCCACTTCACTTGGGTAGTTTGTCTAAAATACTGTAAAATGTACTTGTCAGATCAGTGTAACCAGCAAGCCAGCTGCACTGGGGCAGTGCCAAAGTCATTGCTTGCTGAAAGGATTTTCTTTAGAAAACAAATAGAGTTTGTTTTGACAGTTCTTGATGGAAGCCATTTGTATCGAACTTCATTCTGTCAGTGGCTTGACAGTAAACCAAGGCCTGTTTAAATTGTGCTCATGGAAATACGGGAAACATTTTGTCCAAAAGGTTATTCTGCCTTTCCAGTTGAGCATGCCCAAAGCAGATAACACCAAATTAAAGAATATCCTAAAAAAAGTTTTATAAAGCATCATTAAGTATTGTTGAAAAATAGCAGAGAATGCTTGAACATTTATAACTTTTACACCACTGTTGCTACACCCTATTTTTTATTTTTAGATCTTACATCCTAGAACTAGTGCACTACTCTCAGTAGTTTTGTAGTTGGGGCAAATATGATTGGCTATTATAAAGAATTTTGATTTAGATTGATGATAATTGGCATAAGATTTTGTGTTTTATGTTTTGTTCTTGTCCTTTTGAGCTTGGCTCTCACCTCCCAAGCTCCGAGCAGGTAAGCTCACGTCTGGACTATACCATTTCAGCTGGGAGTTAATGTGATTAAATACCATATTCACTCAAATTTAATGTGCACTTTTTAAAAATAGCATAACCAAAATTGAGGTGTGTATTAGATTTTTGATAAGGGCCCCCTGGTGCTTGAACTTGCTGACCGAAAGGTTGGCGGTTCGAATCCGGGGAGCGGAATGAGCTCCCGTTGTTAGGCCCAGTTTCAGCCAACCTAGTAGTTCGAAAACATGCAAGTGTTAGTAGATCAATAGGTACCACTTCTGTGGGAAGGTTCATGCATTCATGCTGGCCACATGACCTTGGAGGTGTCTATTGACAACACCGCCCCTTTAGCTTAGGAAATGGAGATGAGCAGCAATCTCCAGAGTCAGACACAACTAGACTTAATGTCAGGGGAAACCTTTTCCTTTCATTAGATTTGATGGTACATTCAAATTGTGCAGGTAAGCCTGCTTGTGACCTTCCATCAGGCCAAGGCTCCTCAACCCAAATAGTCCTCAACTGGCCTCATCAACGAGGCCTTCAAAATTGAGGGGGAGGTTTTGAAGGCCTCATGAAGGGGGCCAGTTGAGAAGCCATATCCCTCTGTTAGGCTGCCTGATGGCGGGTCTGCAGCTGCCCAACTGGCTTCCTTTCCCTTGCCTATCAGCCATTCTGAAAGCGCATTACATCAGTGGTTCTCAACCTGGGGTCCCCAGACGTTTTTGGCCTACAACTCCCAGAAATCCCAGCCAGTTTACCAGCTGTTAGGATTTCTGGGAGTTGAAGGTCAAAAACATCTGGGGACCCCAGGTTGAGAACCACTGCATTAGATAGTAAATCTTTTTCTCTTTTTTTTTTTGGTAATGCAAACTTTCAAAATTGAGATGTATATTAGAACTGATGGTACATTATACTCAAATTAATTCAATCCTTCTCCTTAGGAAGTAGTCCTTGGTATGATATTTCCCCTCTGTTTTTATGTAAGGAACATTTTGTCATGAGAATCTCAACCTTCAGTCTGAAATGGTATAGCCCAGGCAGGCATTCTCAGGAAGAAGCAGACTAACACCTTCTTTCTCTTTATGTAGTTCTTGGCATAACACTCTGAACTGTTTTGTAAAGACCATCTCTTTGCTTCTCTCCTCAGTTGTAAAGAATATAGAAATGCCTTAGATGAATTATCCAAAGTATCTCCAAAGATCAATGCTGAAGAAGGACTTCAGATTAACAGGTGACTATCTGATACCTGTCTGTCAATAGCACATTGGAATAATGCTGGCGGACAACTTAACTCTCTCTGTGCTCCTTTCAGAATTATCATTAGCCTTTTGGGTAGTGCGGTGGGTCTACCACACATTGTGTGTTCGCTTTCATTGTAACTAGATGCCTTCCAGTATATTTTAGCAGTAAATGAACCGCCTCCCAAGAACTTGGCTCTAAAATGAGTAGTCTTAAAAGGTTTCGCTGTGTACTTTTAAGCTTAGATTCCTTTTAATTTTTCCCTCTTACCTTGATATTTTATTATGCACTAGCTGTCCCCTGTCACACGTTGCTGTGGCCCACATGTGTGGGAGGTTTGGCCCAGTTCTATCGTTGGTGGGGTTCAGAATGCTCTGTGATTGTAGGTGAACTTAAATCCCAGCAACTACAACTCCCAAATGTCAAGATTCTATTTTCCCCAAACTCCACCAGTGTTCACATTTGGGCACTGGTTGGTTTAGATCCATCATTGTTTGTGTCCACAGTGATCTCTGGATGTAGGTGAACTACAACTCCAAAACCAAAGGACACTGCCCACCAAACCCTTCCAGTATTTTCTGTTGGTCATGGGAGAACTGCGTGCCAAGTTTGGTTCAATTCCAATGTTGGTGGGGTTCTGAATGCTCTTTGATTGTAGGTGAACTATACATCCCAGCAACTACAACTCCCAAATGATAAAATCATTTTTTTGAGTGAAGGACATACATTGGGTTGTTAGATGTCTTGTGTCCAAATTTGGTGTCAATTCGTCCAGTGGTTTTTGAGTTCTGTTAATCCCACAAACGAACATTATATTTTTATTTACATAGATTCTGTGATACTACTGTATTATATTGCAAAGCCTAGTGTTCAGTTTATCTGTTCACTGTGATTTACTGTGTGGTTTCATAGAATCATAGAATCATAGAGTTGGAAGAGACCTCATGGGCCATCCAGTCCAACCCCCTGCCAAGAAGCAGGAATATTGCATTCAAATCACCCCTGACAGATGGCCATCCAGCCTCTGTTTAAAAGCTTCCAAAGAAGAAGCCTCCACCACAATCCGGGGCAGAGAGTTCCACTGCTGAATGGCTCCCACAGTCAGGAAGTTCTTCCTCATGTTCAGATGGAATCTCCTTTCTTGTAGTTTGAAGCCATTGTTTCGCGTCCTAGTCTCCAGGGAAGCAGAAAATAAGTTTGCTCCCTCCTCCCTGTGGCTTCCTCTCACATATTTATACATGGCTATCATATCCCCTCTCAGCCTTCTCTTCTTCAGGCTAAACATGCCCAGCTCCTTAAGCCGCTCCTCATAGGGCTTGTTCTCCAGACCTTTTATCATTTCTGATGCTGTCCATGATGACTTTTTGCATAAAGCTTACTCTCAGATCCTAAGAGCTTCTCTATAGGTTTATCAACCGCTATTCATTTGTTCACTGATTGAACCTTCAGTTTCAGAGAAACATCTGAATAAAACTTACTAGACCAGGCATGGGCAAACTTTGGCCCTCCTATCGGCTGTTAGGAATTGTGGGAATTGAAGTCCCAAGCACCCAGAGAGCCGTAGTTTACCCATGTCTGTACTAGACTGTATGCAAATGAAAGGCAGCCCTCCTCTTGGCTTTGCTAAGGTGCATAGCTTGTCACGATAAGAAACAGGATGCTAAACTAAGTGAGCTCATGGTCTAAGCTGAAAGACCTCTCATCTAGTTTAGTATCCTGTTTCCAAATGTTGCCATTTGTGTGGGCTTCATAGTTAGGTCCAAGGGAGACTTGTTGTCTATTGTTATAAAAAAAAAATACAGTTGTTTTGACACCTCAAATTCTAAAAACCTACTGTTTTATTTCTAGCCTGGCTGAGATCCGAGCAAAGAACAACAGTCCTGTCCGAATACCTGAAACAAATACAGGGCAGTCAAATCAGGTGGCAGAGGTGGAACAGCGTAAGAATTTTCATTGTGTGGTTTGTTTCCTCCTGAGGTTGTATTCTTAATCTGAGATGTAGCCTTGGTTGCAATAAGACTTGATAACAATTGCCTTAAGCAAGGAAAGTTGAAACTAATGTCAATAAATTGTGTTTAGGTTTGCCTCCCCCCTGCCATTATTTTCATCTACATTCCATGGTATTCACTTTTGCAGAATTGATTTCAGTATTCTGAATAGTTGCCATGGGATTCTTCATTGCTACTTGAAAAATGATCACTGATGTTGACACAGTGATCTTTAATCAGTTCCATTGTCAAACTACTCTATCAAGACATTTTTTCTAATGTTGATCTGAAATTCGTTCTCCCATGACCTTGGTATAGTCCTGCCATCTGAGTAAAAAATAATACATCTTTTCTGTATGACAATCCTGCAGGTTTGTGACGACTGCTGTGTTGCACACACACAAAGAGACACAAGCACACTCCCAGTTTTCTTTTCTCCCAAGCTAAAACATACCCAGTTCTCTTACTTTAGCCCTGAGGGTCAGGCTGCCTTCAAAGAATAATCGCCCCTGACAACTGTGTCCCTAAACTTGGACAGCCAGGACAGCCTCAAGACATTTTTTTTAGTCCCAAGGGAAAGTATAAGGTGCTGCCCAGTCCATTGAATTTACATAAATCAGTCAGACTAGCAGCTATGTCACAAAAATTTAATGTACAGATTTTATAAATGTAGATTTAATATGATGTGTGGGAATGAATGGAAGAATGGAAGATGAAAGTATGGATGGAGCCAATAATATTGGAGACACCAGTATAATATTAAGGTCTGCAATGACTAACTGCTTGCTGGACTATAATTAAAAGTTGCTAATAACGACTGAAGAGTAAACTCTGATAAGAATTGGGATAGTGATAACAGAAATGTTTACAATGTTAAGAAGGAACTCAACATAAGATCAACAGCAATCAAGAAGATCAATATCTGGCCAGGAAACTCAGATGGAGCCAGGATGGAAGATGTCTATCATTAATTTACAACTTTGGGACTACGTCAACAGAATATTCCTATAACAGACTCAATCTAATAATGCACAAAGTGTGGCAGACCTGAGGAGTCTGTTCCACCCGCTATGCTTTGCTCCATGGGAAGGAGAGAGATAGTGTACCTGTGGAGAGTGGTAGATTTGCAAGGGAGCAGTCTGGTTACTTTGGGGCTTCTTTTTCAAGGGAAGAGGAAGAAGTGCACTTTTGGAGTCTTGGATTTTGTGCAGGAAGTCAGGTTGTGCTGTATGGAAAACAGAGATCTGGTCCTTGGCATTGTTCTTAGGGAACGAAGTTTTGGCATTTTGAAATTTTGGTGTTACGGAACTATGCATTGACAGACTGCAGGAAAGCAGGGCCTGGCCTAAGCTTCTCCAGGAGGGGAGAATATTTGGGTGCATGAGGATGAATGCATGTGAATGTTAAGTGAAAATGTAATTCCCCTTTGCCTGTTTGTTAGTCCAATGTAACTGCAAGTTGTTGTAAATCCAGTGTAGTTGCATAGAATCTATATGTCCGTATGTCCGTATGTCCATTGTCATTCTTTGTCTAAATGTTTTTCTGTAATCTGATATACCCTCTCTCACTGGAAATTGCAATGAAAAGAACCTATGCTTTAAAGTTATTGAAAAGTCATACATGACAGCTAGATACTAGAACTAGAAATGTCTTCTGCCCAGCGTAGGCAGTCGGATTGTTTGGAAAGCGGAGGGAGGGGGGAGTGTTGAACAACTTGCTTCTCCAACCCAGACATCTCATTCTAGCTAATGGTGGAGGCAATCCTGAGAAGAGCTGGCAGACTTTGATGAAGATAGGTCGGTATGAATGACCAACCACCTTCTCCTCATTGTTTTGATTATAGCAAAGAAACAATATGGAGTTTTGGCCTTCTTTCGAGGCACAGGAGGGAAGAGCCCCGACCTCTCTTCTCAGAAAAAAGAGACCTTACGTGGAGCGGATAGTGCCTACTACCAGGTTGGGCAGACGGGCAAAGAAGGGGCAGAAAACCAAGGGGCAGAAGCTCAAGGTACAAGGGTTTACTCTTTTCTTTCCAGTCTTCCTCACTGATTTCTTTCCATTAACAATATAAGAGTTAAATATTTGTTGACATCCTGTCAAATATGTAGGTGATAATAAAATGGGTAGAATTTGAAAAAGCCATCAATTTTATGAAGTGCCACTGTTTTAGCAGCACAATCCATGTGACGTGAGTCTTGATGATTTGACAGTCTCTTTTGACTTTGACAACAACAAAGCTGTTCTTGCTCATCCTTCTGTGACTTGGTGTGCAATTTTCTCCATGTCTGAGAATATCTCCTGCCTCCAAATGTTTCTTGCAGGAGGACATTCCACCAAACATATATGTAAGGTCCTGCTTTTCTACATTTTTGCCAAGCAGTCCCTTGAAATGCTTTGGATTATGTGCTTGAGTTTTGCCATGGATCATATTCTATTTTTGAATTGCCTTAAAAGTTTGTTTTCTTTGGGGATTTACCCTATGTAAACTTGGCCTTTATTGGTGTAGGTCTGTGCTTGACCTTTTGGTCGATAAGTAGCAGCAGCAATAAGACACAGGCTGTAAAATGTGCATAACTGTTTAATCTAAGAAAGTAAACAGAACACCCAGGCAGTCTTGAGTTTGTGAAAAAGTTTCTTTTCAAGGAATACTTTTCTGCTAAATGTAGCTCTGTGAAATGGCACTTTGGTTTCTAAAAGGTCACATAGGAAGAACATAAATCCATTTAACCAAGAACAATCTTGTTCTGAATGTCATAGGATCTCCCTACTGGAGATCCTGCTTGAGGCCCTTCTATAGAGATTCCAGGGAGTTCCTCCTAACCCATCTGAACACCTGCCTGCCCAACATTTTAGCATTCAAATTTAGCATTCACATATCATCTCTCCCAGCCTTTTTCTGGAAATTGGTGAATTTCAACCATAGTTTAGGTTCTCAATTACTTGAGTTGTGTTTAATTCTTATTTCTGTTTGGCACTTACTAGGTTTCATCTTACACTTCAATATTTGGAAAAATAATGAAAGAGGGTTTTCTTGGACCCTGACATAAAAGGTTAAACTTTTGACCAAGTTTTCTCTTTCCTAATTCAGATGATGCAGATGGAAGTGATGCACAAAGGAAACAGCTAGGAAATCCGCATGTTGAGCTCCGTAAGTAATTTGGATGTCAGATATTGCTGAGGTGAGGGAATCCTTGAAAAACAACCACTAACGACTATGCTTCAGGTCCAACCTATCATTGAGACCACATCTCCTTCTATGAACCGGCGTGGGCTCTGAGAACTGCTGTGGATGCCCTTCTCTCAGTGCCATCATCATCTCAAATACAGTTGATGGGATGAGAGAGAGGGACTTCTCAGTGGTGCCCCCCCCCCCCCCGGCTCTGGAACGCCCTTTTTAGAGAGATTAGGTTAGCCCCACTCTCCAAGTTTTTCGGTCTTTTTAAACAGGCCTTTGACCATGAGTAGATTTTAATCTTAGATTTGATGACTTAGTGATTGTTTCACTCTGCCACTTTGTATTATTAATTGAAGACAGTTTTATCCACGGGCACTGCTGTGTTTTATGAATTTTAAATTTTATGTGATGTTTTATGTGGGTTCATTCTTATAAACTTATATCGTCACTGTTTATTTGCTCATGTATTGTTTATTTTATGTGTGGCACTCCGGAGTGCTTTTGTGAGCTGCCTCGAATCACTTTGGGGAGATGGTGGTGGGGTATAAAAAAAAGTTTTGTATTTTATTAAATAGAAGTCACAGGCTCCATTCTGATTTTGAGAAACATCACGTGGAAGTCAATAGGGTTACAGTGGGCCCTTGGCATTCATTAGGGCTTGGTTCTAGGACCCTTGGTGGATACCAAAATCTGTGGAAGCTCTGGTCAATTTTATGTAATTGTGTAATAAAATGATCTCTTTTATATAGAACTAGCCGTCCCCTGCCACGCATTGCTGTGGCCCACATGGGGGTTCTGTGTGGGAGGTTTGGCCCAATTCTATCGTTGGTGGGCTTCAGAATGCTCTGTGATTGTATTGTAGGTGAACTATAAATCCCAGCAACTACAACTCCCAAATGTCAGGATTCTATTTTCCCCAAACTCCACCAGTGTTCAAATTTAGGCATATTGAGTATTCATGTAGAGTTTGGTCCAGATCCATCATTGTTTGAGTCCACAGTGATCTCTGGATGTAGGTGAACTACAACTCCAAAACCAAAGGACACTGCCCACCAAACCCTTCCAATATTTTCTCTTGGTCATGGGAGTTCTATGTGCCAAGTTTGGTTCAATTCCATCGTTGGTGGGGTTCAGAATGCTCTTTGATTGTAGGTGAACTATAAATCCCAGCAACGACAACTCCCAAATGACAAAAGCAATTTTTTGAGTGAAGGACATACATTGGGTTGTTAGGTATCTTGTGTCCAAATTTGGTGTCAATTCGTCCAGTGGTTTTTGAGTTCTGTCAATCCCACAAACGAACATTACATTTTTATTTATATAGATGGCAAAACATTTATTTTTTGGCAGTGGGGAGGATATATTCAAGTCATTAGTGGTACGAACTATAGAGGTAGAATCTGTGGATATGAGAACCAGCTGTATATCTAAAGCCATCACTTGGACTAGCTCATGCAGATTGTACTTTTCTCTTGCAATGCAAGGTTTCTTTTGCTCCTTGTATCAGTGCTATTTATTCTTGTACCCTCCAGGAAACAGAACACTTAGGCTTATTGTCAACAAACTTTAGTAACAGATTTTGTTCAAGGCTTGCTATCTTTCTTTGAGTCTATTGGAACCATCCAGTATCCCAGTGAGAGATATGCCTGACTGGTGGCAGTAGGGTGACAGTGCCTTTCCTGCCTTCTGTATCGTACCAGATTGGGACTTAGTAAGAAAGTCTGCTAGTGTTTTAAAACTGTGAAGTGGGAAGTCCTTGGTTAAAGCATAATCACATTTACAACTTCAGATTCAGGAGCTGGCCACTTTTTCTTCTAATCAGTATCCTTTTGCCATTGAGGGACAGTCAGAACTATTTATAGTTGCTTGTTGAGGTAATGTATGTGACAGGCTGTCACTATTCAGAAGTGCTTTATGAATGCTGGAATGGTTATTCTTACAATCAGAATCTCCTCTTAAAGGCCAGCAGGAACAGAGATAAATGGAATGATGGAAATGAAAAATTCTGTGTAAATATTCATCAGCCTGTTCAAATAATTTGCATTGGACCTCATAAAAGAGAACTGTCTACCATATTTCAACTTCCTTTACATTCCTGATGCGGGTCAGCATGCACATTTCAGTGATATTAATAGCTAATACCTCTTTAACTTTTCCTGTCATTGTCATAGATTTGTTTTATTATTAACCGACAGAAGCCACATCAACTTTGAGCCCCCTCAAGGGCTCTGTTGGAGAAAACTTTAGCTTCTTGATGAAGCCCATTGTTGTATCTCAGGCTAAGATTCACCTTGCTATCTCTGACAAACCAGCCAAACTTGGGAGGTAGAAAGTTTATTGTGAGGTTTTCAAACAAAGCAGTTCATAAGCAGTGAGAAGATCAGTAGTACAAGGTAAAAATCCAATACAATCCCTTTTTGTCAAAGCAGGAGATTTGGAGCATAGAAGCAGAGTAAAGTCCAGGAAATAGCATGAGGTAACGTGAAGCAGGCTTTTCCCAAGCCCCAGAGCCGAAGCCGAAGCAAGCCATTTAGCAACGTTGGAAGCTCCCTTAAGATCCTTCACAGGTTTGTTGTTGTTGTTCATTCGTTCATTCGTTTCCGACTCTTCGTGACTTCATGGACCAGCCCACGCCAGACCTCCCTGTCGGCCGTCACCACCCCCAGCTCCTTCAAGGTCAATCCAGTCACTTCAAGGATGCCATCCATCCATCTTGCCCTTGGTCAGCCCCTCTTCCTTTTTCCTTCCATTTTCCACAGCATCATTGTCTTCTCTAAGCTTTCCTGTCTCCTCATGATGTGACCAAAGTACTTCAACTTTAGTATCCTTCCCTCCAGTGAGCAGTCGGGCTTTATTTCCTGGAGGATGGAATGGTTGGATCTTCTCGCAGTCCAAGGCACTCTCAGAACTTTCCTCCAGCACCATAGCTCAAAAGCATCGATCTTCCTTCGCTCAGCCTTCCCTAAGGTCCAGCTCTCACATCCGTAGGTTACTACAGGGAATACCATGGCTTTGACTAGGCGGATCTTTGTTGCCAGTCTGGTGTCTCTACTCTTTACTATTTTATCGAGATTGGACATTGCTCTCCTCCCAAGAAGTAAGCGTCTTCTGATTTCCTGGCTACAGTCTGCATCTGCAGTAATCTTTGCACCTAGAAATACAAAGTCTGTCACGGCCTCCACGGTTTCTCCTTCTATTTTCCAGTTGTCAATCATTCTTGTTGCCATAATCTTGGTTTTTTTGACGTTTAGCTTCAACCCGGCTTTTGCGCTTTCTTCTTTCACCTTGATTAGAAGGCTCCTCAGCTCCTCCTCGCTTTCGGCCATCAGAGTGGTGTCATCTGCATATCTGAGGTTGTTAATGTTTCTTCCAGCAATTTTCACCCCAGCTTTGCATTCATCCAGCCCCGCACATCGCATGATGTGTTCTGCATACACGTTAAAAAGGTTGGGTGAGAGTATGCAGCCTTGCCGTACGCCTTTCCCAATCTTGAACCAGTCTTTGTCCCATGTTCTTACTGTTGCTCTTGGCTGTTATACAGATTCTTCAGGAGACAAACAAGGTGGGTTGGTATCCCCATGCTACCAAGAACTTGTCACAATTTATTATGATTCACACAGTCAAAGGCTTTAAAATAGTCAATAAAACAGAAATAGATGTTTTTCTGAAACTCCCTGCCTTTCTCCATTATCCAGCGGATATTGGCAATTTGGTCTCTCGTTCCTCTACCTTTTCTAAACCCAGCTTGAACATCTGGCAACTCTCGCTCCATGTATTGCTGGAGTCTTCCTTGCAGGATCTTGAGCATTACCTTACTGGCATGAGAAATAAGGGCCACTGTACGGAAGTTTGAGCAGTCTTTCGCATTTCCCTTTTTTTGGTATGGGGATATAAGTTGATTTTTTCCAGTCTGATGGCCATTCTTGTGTTTTCCATATTTGCTGGCATATGGCATGCATCACCTTGACAGCATCATCTTTTAAGATTTTAACAGTTCAGCTGGGATCCCGTCGTCTCCTGCTGCCTTGTTGTTAGCAATGCTTCTTAAGGCCCATTCAACCTCACTCCTCAGGATGTCTGGTTCTAATTCATTCACCACACCGTCAAAACTATCCTCAATATTATTATCCTTCCTATACAGATCTTCTGTATAGTCTCGCCACCTTCTCTTGATCTCTTCAGCTTCTGTTAGGTCCCTGCCATCTTTGTCTTATCATACCAATTTTTGCCTGAAATTTACCTCCAATGTTTCTAATTTTCTGGAAGAGGTCTCTTGTCCTTCCTATTCTGTTGTCTTCTTCCACTTCCATGCATTGCTTATTTAAAATAGTTCCTTATCTCTTCTGGCTAACCTCTGGAATTGCGCATTTAACTGGGCATATCTCCCCTTATCCCTGTTTCCTTTTGCTTTCCTCCTTTCTTGGTCTACTTCCAGTGTCTCAGCAGACAACCATTTTGCCTTCTTGGTTTTCTTTTTCTTTGGGACGTACTTTGTTGCCGCCTCCTGAACAATGCCGCGGACTTCTGTCCATAGTTCTTCTGGGACTCTGTTTACTAAATCTAGTCCTTCAAATCTGTTCTTCACTTCCACTGTATATTCGCTAGGAATGTTAGTGAGATCATATCTAACTGGTCTGTGTATTTTCCCTGATCTCTTTTGTTTTATTCTAAATTGAGCAATAAGAAGTTCGTGATCTGAGCTACAGTCAGCCCCAGGTCTTGTTTTCACCGACTGGATGGATGTCCGCCACCTTTGGCTGCAAAGGATGTAGTCAATCTGATTTCAGTGTTGACCGTCTGGTGAGGTCCATGTATAAAGCCGTCTTTTAGGTTGTTGGAAGAGAGTGTTTGTTATACACAGCGAGTTTTCCTGGCAAAATTCTATCAGCCTGCGTCCCACTTCATTTTGTTCCCCCAGACCATGCTTGCCTGTGATCCCAGTTGTCATTTGACTTCCCACCTTGGCATTCCAGTCTCCTGTAATGAAAATAATGTCTCTTTTTGGTGTATTATCCAGTAGGTCCTGCAGATCCTCATAGAACTGATCTACTTCTGCTTCTTCAGCAGCTGTGGTTGGGGCGTCTATTTGGATCACTGTAATGTTGAAAGGCTTTCCTTGCACTCGAATTGAGATCATTCTGTCATTTTTTGGGTTGTATCCAAGCACCGCTTTAGCGAATTTCTTATTAATTATGAAGGCTACTCCATTTCTTCGATGTTCCTCTTGTCCGCAGTAGTAGATCTGGTGGTCATCTGATGTGAAGTGGCCCATTCCAGTCCACTTCAGTTCGCTGACCCCCAGAATGTCTATCTTTAGTCTTGACATCTCGCCAATAACAACATCCAATTTGCCCTGGCTCATAGATCTTACATTCCAGGTTCCTATGGTGTGTTGATCTTTAGAGCATCGGATTCGTCGTTCACCTCCAGTACCGTCGGCCGCTAGCCTTCCTTTCGGCTTTGAGCTAGCTGCGTCATCACATCTGGGGCTAGTTGAACTTATCCTCTGCTCCTCCCCAGTACCATTTTGGCCATCTTTTAAACATTAAAAAAAACCAAGATTATGGCAACCAGACTGATTGATAACTGGCAAATAAAGGGCGAAAACGTGGAAGCCATGACAGACTTATATTTCTAGGTGCAAAGATTACTGCAGATGCAGACTGCAGCCAGGAAATCAGATGACGCTTACTTCTTGGGAGGAGAGCAATGTGCATGTTCTTTCAAGTCACCTATTGGCTTATGGTGGCCCCATGATTTTTATAGGGTTTTCTTAGGAAAGAAATACTCGGAGGTGATTTTGCCAAGTCCTCCTTCTGAAATAAGGTCTACGACTCCCATCTACTACTGTATACTATCTAGGACTGCTCGTGCTTGTCTTTCAAGATGAGGCAGAATATGGTACCTTTAGGGCAGTGGTTTTCAACCTGTGGGTTAGCAAATGTTTTGGCCTTCAATTCTCAGAAATCCTAACAGCTGCTAAACTGGTTGGGATTTCTGGGAGTTGTAGGCCAAAGAACTTGGGGACCTACAGGTTGAGAACCACTGCTTTAGGGCGTTTAAGCCCTGAACTAGCCTTACTATAAATGCTTCCAGGTGAAACCAGTATCTTTGGCAAGACAACAGTAAATACTGACTTTGTTTTCTTTACTTTTATTTATCGTGTCATCAGCAACCATTGTATTACAATTCTAACAGAGCAAAACAAACACAGAGATTAAANTGTATTCCCATTCCCATCATGCTCATCTGCACTTTCAGTCCCATCATGCTGTTGCTGTTGAACCACAACACCCATGATCTGTATGCTGAGACTGGGTTCAGTTTCTCACATCTTCAAGAGAGTTTGGAAAACGCTTCTGTTAGAAGACCCGAAGAGTCATTGTCAGTCAGTTTAGAGTAGTCAATACCAAACTAGAAGCAACCATAGTTCAGCTTATTTTAGAATAACCATCTGTCCACCGCTCCGAGTCCCCTGCAGGCTGAGAGGGGTGGTATATAAATATACTAAATAAATAAATAAAAACATTAGTAACAACTTCCCCCACCACTTTTTTTCTGCAGAATTTTCTGACGCAAATGCCAAATTCTATTGCCGGATTTACTATGCAGGAGAGTTCCATAAAATGCGTGAAGTGATACTTGGAAGCAGCGAGGAAGATTTTATCCGTTCTCTCTCTCACTCGCTGCCTTGGCAGGCACGAGGAGGGAAGTCAGGAGCTGCATTTTATGTTACGGAAGGTAATTGACTGATGTTTCAGCTTTCTGATTAATGTTCACCGTTTTTGTTCCACACAAATGGATTATGCCATTTAAGGACATCTTGGACCAACTGTCCATTAAACAAAACCTACACCTTGAAAATTGGGCCAGAACTCTGGTTTCCAATTGTTATGACATTTTAGAGACCCTGACGGAAAAGTTTGATATCTTTTATATACACACTTGAGGTTTAAATTATGTGCTCTAACCTTGAAATTTTTCTTTAGATGACCGTTTCATATTGAAGCAAATGCCCCGCTTGGAGGTCCAGTCATTTTTGGACTTTGCGCCACATTACTTCACATACATTACTAATGCAGTCCAGCAGAAGGTAGGATTTATTAACTATTTTGTTTTGATATGTTCCTCCTGGTTTTAAGCAGTAGTACATGCTAGTAGAAGAATTTTTTTAAAATATTTCAAAAGTGATCAGAAAAAAGGTTTTGGATATGGAAAAACTCCGAGGGTACTCAGCTAACTGAAATTTTCACAGTTCAGGTCTTATTCTGCACATGATTTGCAGTTTTTCATGAAAAGCAACAATATTTGTGCAGAAAATCCTATACAGAAATAGTTTTCTGCACAGAAAATATTGTTCCCTGTGCAAAAAATGTTGCAAATAGTATATGTTGTAAATTTTTTATGTTGCAAACATTATTTATGCTGTATTTTCCACATAGAAACTGGCATTTTCTGCATATAAAATAATGCTTCCATTCTAAAAAGGCTTTTTTTCTGTGTACAAATTTCACATGTGAATTTTGCACAGAATCAGTTCTGGACTGCAAATAGAGAAGACTTTCTTGCAGGAGGAAAAATATTTAAAATTACTTGCTGCTTCCTGAAAAAAAAAAGTAGTGAAGAATTATCTCCCAGCCATTGATATAGACCAGGGGTCCTCAAACTAAGGCCCGGGGGCTGGATGCGGCTCTCCAAGGTCATTTACCCGGCCCTCGCTCAGAGTCAACCTAAGTCTGAAATGACTTGAAAGCACAAAATAACAACAACAATCCTATCTCATCAGCCAAAAGCAGACCCACACTTCTCATTGAAATACGAATAAGTGTATATCTGTTAAAATTGTTCTTCATTTTAAGTATTGTATTGTTTTAAAGTGTTTTTTTTTTCTCACTACAAATAAGATATGTGCAATGTGTATAGGAATTCATTCATTTTTTTTCAAATTATAATCCGGCCCTCCAATAGTTTGAGGTACTGTGACCTGGCCCTCTGCATAAAAAGTTTGAGGACCCCTGATATAGATAATCAGAATTAACAAAGAAGCATTTTTGTCTACCACAGTGGTTCCCAACCTTTTTTTGACCAGGGATTGCTCTCCAACATTAGTACCAAAAGGGTTATGAATCCGTTTTTGGTCAACTTTAGATTTGGTTTGGTTATTTGGGGTGCTATCAGAAAATTGCATTGTATAGACCACATCAGCTCTAGTTTCTAATACAAAACAAATGCCATCCAGTAGTTGCTATCTGCTCGCCAACAGAAAACTCTATTTAATAACTTTGGCACTATACGAGGGTTTCACGAGACCAGCCATTACACAACGTAGTAATGGTGAGGCTGCGAACCATATTTTAGTTCTTGCGGATCACTGGTGGTCCACGGACCACAGGTTGGGAACCACTGGTCTACCAAGTCTGTCAACATTACCTTTGAGCCTTGAGTATTCCAGATGTCTTTACTTCAAATGTGGTGCTTGAGCATCTTTTGACCGATCAAGTCTACTGTATTTCAGAAACCAACAGCTTTGGCCAAGATTCTTGGGGTTTATCGGATTGGATATAAGAATTCTCAGAACAACACAGAGAAGAAACTGGATCTGCTGGTCATGGAAAACCTCTTCTATGGCAGAAAGATGGCTCAGGTGAATGAGTGACCCAAAGAGTAATTCTGCTGTCTTTTGTGGATTGAGTTGACAGCCTTCTCCACCTGGTTTTATGGATTTGTTTTACCCTGCAGACATTGAAACAAAACAAAACAGTTTCCTTACTACTTATTTAGAAGTGCATGTTCTCATGTCTTTAAACTTTATTCGGGGACTCGCCCCGAGTCCCCCTGGGGGAGATGGAGCGGGGTATAAATAAAGTATTATTATTATTATTATTATTATTATTATTATTTTATTATTATTTCTTGGATCCAGCTGGTTTATGATCAAAAATAGACCTTGTGTTGTATGTATTTTTGAAAATTAAAATTGGAATTGGCTTTCATTTTTTTAGTAAAATAGCCCTAAAGAAGCCTTTTATATGTTATGATCAGATGCCTCCACCATTTTTACATATTCATTGATTCATTTTTGGTGTTATGGATGTACCACCTGCCTCCTTGCTTGAAACGTTCATGAATAATACATGCCCATGCCCCCAATACTAGCCTGTGAAATTGATTTAAACTTCTTTTTTTGAAGGAGGTGCTTGCAGAATAAGTTCACTGTAATTTATATAAAATGGCAAGATCAAGGTTTATGTTTTGGAATATTTATTTTTGGAATATTTTCAAGCTGTGGATAATTGAACCTGTGGATATGGAATGCCAACTGTACTTAAAAATATTAATATTTCCTTATTTTACTTTGTTTTTAAATTAATACTATTACCTAATCTTCTTTGCTCAGGAAGAGGCACCCCAAGTAGAAAATCACAAGATTCAGTGCTGTCAGAACTCAATTATGAAAATAAAGTTGTCATTGCTATTATTATTATTGTTATTATTATTATTATTGTTAACAATAATTTATTAATAATAATTTATTATTGTTGCTTTGAATGCGATTTTCCTGCTTCTTGGTTGGACTGGATGGCTCACAAACCTCTTCCAATTCTATGCTTCTATGATGATGATGATGATGATGATTATATTCAGTTATATTCACCACCCAAAAAACAAACAAACAAACATTGGGATTCAAATAGCTCACAATTTAAAATCATTCACACCTAAGACTCTCTTCTGTTGGCTGTGTTCAAATTCCCTTGGTTACTTTGCCTGCTTGTTTGGGTGCTTAAACTCTACAACTGAATGCATTTTCATGGTAACAGGATTCTTACTTGCCCTGATAACTACATTCCTGGTCACGCCACTCTGAGTCGCCTCCGGGCTGATATGAGCGGGGTAGAAATAATGCAAATAAAATAAATAAATATAGATAAGCAAAGTATCTATTGTATAAAGATTTTTGTGTGTGAAAAAAAAACATTTTTTTACTGTTTGAAGAACACATGTAATGTATATAACAAATTTAAGTGAGGGGGTGCTGCAGGAATTACCTTATTAAATAGTCATTGCTACTCCAGGAATTTTAAGAAATTGCCCGTCATCCTCCTCCTTATTGCAACTTTCTTCTTTTTTTGCTCCTAGGTCTTTGACTTGAAAGGCTCCTTGCGGAATAGAAATGTGAAAACAGACACAGGAAAGGAGAGCTGCGATGTAGTCCTGCTGGATGAAAACCTCTTGAAGCTGGTGCGGGACAATCCTTTGTACATCCGATCTCATTCCAAGGCTGTGCTGAAGGCTTCCATCCACAGCGACTCCTATTTCCTTTCCAGCCATCTCATCATTGACTACTCTCTTCTGGTGGGCCGGGATGATACCACCGATGAACTAGTGGTTGGGATTATTGGTATGTAACCATTGACTGAGAACAATAAAGAGGGTGGCTTTTCCTTTATGACTGTAGGTGTAGTAGCCGCTACTCAGAACCTGCTCAGGACTGCTACCAGTTTTTACAACTGTCTTGGTTATTTGTGTGCAGGCATTGTAAGCCGATGCTCAAAGTATTTTGTGGAGGGAAAGGTGGTCTGCTTGATGACCTGTGTTTCATGCCAATACCAATTTATTTGTTTATTTTCTACTAGCCGTTCCCTGCCATGCGTTGCTGTGGCCCACATGGGGGTTCTGTGTGGGAAGGTTTGGCCCAATTCTATCGTTGGTGGGGTTCAGAATGCTCTGTGATTGTAGGTGAACTATAAATCCCAGCAACTACAACTCCCAAATGTCAAGATTCTATTTTCCCCAAACTCCACCAGTGTTCATGTTTGGGCATATTCTTGTAGAGTTTGGTCCAGATCCATCATTGTTTGAGTCCACAGTGATCTCTGGATGTAGGTGAACTACAACTCCAAAACCAAAGGACACTGCCCTCCAAACCCTACCAGTATTTTCTCTTGGTCATGGGAGAAATGTGTGCCAAGTTTGGTTCAGTTCCATCATTGGTAGGGTTCAGAATGCTCTTTGATTGTAGTTGAACTATAAATCCCAGCAACTACAACTCCCAAATGACATAATCATTTTTTTTTCAGTGAAGGACATACATTGGGTTGTTAGGTGTCTTGTGTCCAAATTTGGTGTCAATTTGTCCAGTGGTTTTTGAGTTCTATTAAACCCACAAACGAACATTACATTTTTATTTATATAGATATTTGTATACTGCCCTTCTCAGCCCGCAGGCGACTCAAGGCGATTTACAGAGGCAACAATTCAATGCCCAACAACACCATAAAAACATTTAAAACATTTTCAAACATTAACATATAATATAAAACCATAGCAAGATCAATAAGATATAAATCATTTGCATCTCCTAGTTAAAATGTTAACAATTTCATCATCCAGATATATTCCTATGTCTGTTACACTGCATTTTCAAAGGCTTGCTCAAAAAGCCAAGTCAAAGGGAGGGGGCCGATTTAAGGTCTCTAAGAAGGGCGTTCCATAGCTGAGGGGCCACCACTGAGAAGTCCCTGTCTCTCGTCCCCGCCAAATATATTTGTGATGCAGGCGGGATTGAGAGCAGGGCCTCCCCAGATGATCTTAATGTCCTAGATGGTCCATAAGGGGACATGCGTTCGGACAGGTAGGTTGGGCCAGAACACTTGATGCATCAAATATAGTGTGCTTCTGCAGCAGTTGTCATCTTAACACCCTTGCCAAAAGGTGGCTTACAATTTTTAAAAGGGCAACATTTATTTATTTATCTACAGTATTTATATTCTGCCCTTCTCAGGGCGGATTACAGTGTACACATATATGGCAAACATTCAATGCCGATTTGACATACAACATATACAGACATACACAGAGGCTATTTAACTCTTTCTGGCCGCCAGGGGAGCTGTCGCTTTCATCGTCCATCTGCGACACTGATGAAGTACTTCCGCATTCTTCCGCATTCCCCGCATACTTTTGCTGGAGTACTTTGCTGGAGTCTTTTTTATGGCCTCATAAATTAGTTAATTTAGCCTCCCCACACAAGGTGGTACCTAATTTTCCTACTTGACAGATGCAGCTGTCTTTCGGGTTGCAAAGGTCGACAACAGGCTACACAATTGGTTGGAAGCCCACTCCAACCCGGGCTGGCTTCGAACTCATGACCTTTTGGTCAGAGTGATCTTAATGCAGCTGACACTCAGCCAGCTGTGCCACAATCCCGGTGCAATACAGCTAAAGATGTATAGAAAGTGAATGTTAAAATGGAATCAAGATATTCACAATATTAAAGCAATTTAAACCTATGTAAAATGCAGATTTAAAAGATAAAAGTCAACTAAAACAATCAAATTTGACACAGCCTTCTCACAGTTTTGCTGTTCATGCATATTTAGCGAAGGATTCTGGAATCAAGCTGCTGTTTATGGATCAGATAGAGTAGAATCCCGCTCCTTCCCTGTTCAGGCAATGACACTAAAAGCCTGTGTTTCTTTAGCCCTTCTACAGAAGGCCTAGAGCATTAACATTTTAATGCCAATATTGCTTTTAAAAAAGCCTTTCAGCTAAACAGACGATGAAGAGAAAAAACAAAGCTAGGTGGGCTAAAACACTTTGTAAAAAGGAGCTTCTTTGTCACAGACTTTGTTAACTGAAGTATTCCTGTGTTTTGTTATATGTGAAATGTCTCCTTTACCTGACTGTAATTCAGCACAGTGCCCTGGGAACAATAATTTGTCTGAATGCCTTCTAATTTTAAGTTACTGTTTTCAACTGTTTATAATGAGCCATTCACTCTATCAAGTTGTTATCAGTGATTTTGTGTGTAATTACGCTTTAAAAATCATTTTGGCTATCTATTCGAAACCTGTTGAGATGCATTGTTTCTCATTGTGCAAGATCTGAGACAAGAAACATGACTGAAAATGAAGAAGTGCAAAACTATTGCTGTATACAGCTAGACCTGAAAAAAAACAGTATGCACTTACTAACCTTCACTAACTTTTAAAAACCACAAATAAATAAATATAAATAAAACATAAAAGTAATTTTACAATACAAACTGGGGAGAGTACACCATTACAAAATCATGAGAGGTTATTTTGCCTTTCGGTAAGAAAACATTTAAATTTATTAACATATTTATAGGACACATTCTTCATAGCATCAGAGATTGGCCTTGTAGTAGAGTGCTATATTTAATCCATTTTATTTATTTTAATTACAGATTATATTCGTACCTTTACTTGGGACAAAAAACTTGAAATGGTGGTGAAATCAACAGGTATCTTGGGAGGACAAGGTGAGATGTCTCTTTGAAATGGATCTGATATTGCTTTTCTTCTTTTGGTTGCCTTCTTTTACATGTATTCACTATCAACTGCTTTTTTTGTGTGCCAGAAGTGGCTTGAAAAACCTCAAGTCATTTCTGGTGTGAGAGAACTGGCCATCTTCAGAGACGTTGCCCAGGAGACACTTGGATGTTTTACCATCCTGTGGGAGGCTTCTCTCATGTCCCCGCATGAGAAGTTGGATCTCACAGACGGGAGCTCACCCTGTCTCGCGGATTCGAACCACCAACCTTCAGGTCTGCAGTGCAGCTGGGACAAGGGTTTAACCCAGGGGTCCTCAAACTTTTTAAACAGAGGGCCAGGTCACAGTCCCTCAAACTGTTGGAGGGCCGGATTACAATTTGTAAAAAAAAATGAATGAATTCCTATGCACACTGCAGAAAAACACTTCAAAACAATACAATAATTAAAATGAAGAACAATTTTAACAAATATAAACTTATTAGTATTTCAATGGGAAGCATGAGGCTGTTTTTGGCTCATGAGATAGGATTGTTGTTGTTGTTGTTGTTATTGTTGTTGTGTGTTTTCAAGTCATTTCAGACTTAGGTTGACCTTGAGCGAGGGCCAGGTAAATGATTTTGGAGGGCTGTATTCGGCCCCCAAGCCATAGTCTGAGGACCCCTGGTTTAATCCTTTGCATCACCGCAGCTCCCACTATCAACTGTTAATTCTATGCATCGAAATACACAAACTAAATCTTGGATTACTCAATATTCAAGATAATATTTTCAAATGAGACTTGCATGTAATGCTTAAAGAGCACAATTTACAATGAAGACCACTTTTCTGTCAAAGTAAACATCATGTAATAGAAGATTTCAGCTGGGCATCAGTTCTCATCGTTACCATGGCCTTCTTTGTGGTGGCCCCCCGACTCTGGAACTCTCTCCCCAAGGATATCAGACAAGCCCCAACGTTGGCAGTCTTCAGGAAGAGCTTGAAGACGTGGCTGTTCTGGTGTGCCTTTCCAGAATAGGAAGCTCCTAGCATCATGTCCCAAATGCACTTTACTAGAGATTTAAGATTGTTTGCACACCGCACCTACCTCTAAAAACCTATACAGTTCACCTGTCATGTCCAGCACTTTAAAAATTTTATTCATTACATTTGGCCCGGCCTTAGTTTTAATTGCGTCGTGGTGTTATTGTCTTTAATGTTTATTGTTATTGCTTTAATTTTTTGTTTTGCTTTATGAGTTGTACTGTTGTATTTGTTATGCTGTTGTTTTATTGTGGGCCTTGGCCTTTTCTAAGCCGCACCAAGTCCTTCGGGAGATGTTAGCGGGGTATAAATAAAGTAAGTAAGTAAGTAAATAAATAAATAAATACAAAATAGATTTGTAATAATGCATCATGCTTCCTTTTGTAAACATTAGGATTTCTAATCTTGAAAGAGTTTTGCCCTGCTTATGTGGTTTTAGTAGGTCTACAGAACATAATCTCTTGTGGTTTGCTGACTTTCTTCTAATGCTGTATTGAGTAAAAAGAATCTTGACACACGTATACTTATTACTGTGTTATTTTGGCATCTAACACATTTCTTCTCTCTTCTTTCTTTAAACTATTAGGTAAAATGCCAACGGTAGTATCTCCGGAACTGTACCGTACCAGGTTTTGTGAAGCAATGGACAAGTATTTTTTGATGGTGCCAGACCACTGGACTGGGTTGGGTGTGAATTGCTAAGGAGAAGCAGTTCTTACATGATGGGATGGATGACTTCTTCAAATTGAAAGAGAACACAAAGGGAATGCTGTCTTTCCATTCAGCCCTCTCCATCTAGTCTCTTCTACACCTGCGAAAAGGTCTTCAGCCACTGTCTTCTGTGTCTTAAGTATAATGTCTGCACTTTACGTTGTGATGTCAGAATATTTGCTGAAGACAGACTGGAGAAGACCATTCCTTCACAATCAGAACTGGACTGCATCTTCAGAAGGACACCAGGGGAGCCATCAAATATGTGAGCCTTGCACCAAGGCAGTATCTTCCACAGGTTACTGTGAATCGTACTGGAGCACTGAATCCTGCATGTAATTTTTGAAGAGACCAGGCCTTGTAGGCCTTGAACGTGGTATAAACAGTCTTAAGATGAAGTAGTCGTTGGTGCATTTGCAAAACACCAGCTTGCATTGCAGTGCTTAAAAAGAGCTGGTCGATCATGAGGAGCTAAGTGAACCTGTTAACAGCACCACTGCTGTGTTAGGAATGAGTTCTGTAAGCAGTATGGTGTGAAATTGAGTCTGTGATGCACTGAGATATCTCTGAGAAGTATTTGGTGATTTTTAGCCATTTCTCAACATCCTACTTTGTCATCTGGAACCTTAATTTCAGTGGTAGAGAACCTACATGTGCTCAGCTTTTTGTTGTTATTATTCTTTTTTAATTTAAGATCCCTTTTTCATGTTTACTCCAGCTTTGATTTCAGCTATGGACCAAGAAATAGAATAATTCCATTGCAGATGTACTCACCAACCAAATTTTATGAAAAGGAAGACCCTTGTATATCTACTAAGCTGATTACTCAGTCTCAGCATTATCATAAAGTCTATATGTAGCTGCATTGCCTTCCTCTCCTCATCTCCACCTTACATGAGGCAATGAGTATTTTTAAAGGAATAACTACTAGCTGCCTTAAGGAGGCATCCTACAATGGGGATTGTTGGGGTTTCTTTTCATTTCAGCACCATTTTGGGGAATGTAGTATTCAAGTATCTCTATAGAATCCATTTTGGTTGTGCTAACAGATTAAGATACTTAAATAGTAGTTCTTGTGCACTATAAAACTTGGTTGCAGTTGTAGGTGCTCTGAATCAAACTAGGATGTTGTGTTGGGCATAATAGACCAGTTAGGTGGAGATTTGGCTATCTTCACAACCTGAGAAAAAAGCACTTTTAAATGAACATATACATATGTGTATATATATATGTGTATGTCTTCATGACGAAATGTTTACTTTGTACATAATAATAAAGGCCAGTAAAAAAGAAGCATGTGTCTAATTAAGGCAAGATTAAAATTGTCTTCATTCCTTAACAATTATTTTGAATATTGCTCTGAGTGTAGTTTCCAGATGACGTACAAGAGCTGGGGTCAGTTTTAATGTATGGGCAGCCTTCTCCTTGAGGCAGGGAAGCTCTAAAACAGTGGTTCTCAACCTGGGGTTCCCAGCTGTTTTTGGCCTACAACTCCCAGAAATCCCAGTCAGTTTACCAGCTGTTAGGATTTCTGGGAGTTGTAGACCAAAAACATCTGGGGACCCCAGGTTGAGAACCAGTGCTCTAAAACTACATGAACCATTTTGCATGGCTTGAGGACCATGGAAGAGGACCAAGAAACATTCTATTGGGATGGAAAACCTGTTGTTCACTGTATAATAATTATTATTTATCTATTTGACCAGTCATATGACCATTTCAAAATAGAACATGAGTAAAAAACAAGGCAATAAGGCGAGAAGTTCGCTGTATAAAAAATAAAGGTTTCTCCTTGACATTAAGTCTAGTCGAGTTCGACTCTGGGGAGGGGGGTGATGGAGCTCACCTCAATTTCTAAGCCGAAGAGCCAGCGTTGTCCATAGATGCCTCCTATGCAATCTTGGCCGGCAAGATTGCATGGAGTGCTGTTACCTTCCTGCCAACGCAGTACTCATTGATCTACTCAAATTTGCATGTTTTCAAACTACTAGGTTGGCAGAAGCTGGGGCTAACAGTGGGAGCTCACCCATATTTATTTCATATATTTATATCCCGCTCTTCTCCCCACAAGGGGGACTCAGCGCGGCCTCACGTGAGCATCAGAGGACGCTAACAGCATAAATACCATAAAAATTACAATTCACAATAAAATCATTTTAAAACATTGTACATCATCATCACTGAAATTTAACAATAAATTAATAGATTAACGTGTCAGTAAAACCAAGCCGAACCGGGAGAATCCATATTGCAAAATCCAAATTTCCTTTTCTTATTGCTGCTGGCCTCTAATCGAACGCCTGGCCGTAGATTTGAACCGCTGACCTTATGGTCAGCAAATTCTACAGCTTAGTGCTTTAACCACCTAGTTCAATGTAAGCAGTTAGCAAAACTAGGCCTGCATCACCTGCAGCCCTCCAGATGTTTTATACTTCAGCTTCCAGAATTCCTGACCATTAGGCAAGCTGGCCAAGGCTTCTGGGAGTTGGAGTCCCAGACACTCGGAGGATCACAGGGTTGTGCAGTTCTGGCAAAAAACAACACTCCTGTGCTGCTGTCTTCCTGCAGAAGTTTCCCACTATAAAGACCATATCTGCAATGTTGATGTGGGGTTTTGTGCTTAAAATCTGTGAAACAATCTTAAACCAGATGTAGTATATTATAAGACTGCAATAATGAGTGTTTTGTATTGTCAAAGGCTTTCACTGCCGGAATCACTGGGGTGTTGTGTGGTTTCCCGGCTGTATGATCGTGCTCTATTATTATTTTCTCATGACATTTCACCTGTGTTTGTAGCTGGCATTTTCAGGGGATTGTGATGCAGGTGAAATGTCAGGAAAAATTGTTGCTAGAACACAGCCGTACAGCCCGGAAACCTCACAACACTCTAATGAGAGCTTTACCTCCGTTCCAAATTTAGATTGAATAAAACATGCATGGATATATCCTATTCAGTTGCAAGTTGGTTCCCTCTTTGCATGGGAGTTCCAACTCCTAATTTGCTTTTCACTTATAGTTTAATTTGTCCAAGCCTGCAAATGAGAAACCAAATAACCAGCTTCAATAAATGGGTATTTATAGCTGAGGTTTGACCATTTATATTCCTTTAATTTATATAGATCTGCTAATCCCCAGTTTTCAACTGTATAAAGTTCTATAATTATCTGTAGAATTTGATGGTTTGAATAGCAGTATTCAATGTGTGTCGTATTAAAGCTTTGGAGAAGCTTTGCTGTATTAATGTCAAAGAACAAGGTGCATTAGGAAGTGGTTTTCCTCGTACAGCTCCTCAAAGACCTTTCTTCATTAACTGGCTTGAGAAGAAAGTGTGTACACGTATAAAGCATTGATTATGCAGAATGGGCAAGGATATAAATTGTTGGTCTCTTTCAAATGAGAAGCCAGCAACCGCTGGAAAGGTTCAGATCCCATTTGTCTTTATGATGTAAGAATAAATCCTGTTTTATTCAATTACTAGCTTGGGAACCTGGTGGTGCCTGGGTTATTTGAGAAAGGCATTGTGTTCCAAGGTTGGCCTTTATCAGTTATTTATGTGGCTCGCAGTGGTCACAGAAAGTGAGTGAAGGTACTGCAAGTCCCATCATTTGTGGCCCATCCTCCTCCAAACTGAACTAGGATGTAGAGTGGGTCATGGGGACTCTTTGTGCCAAGTTTGATCTTGAATCAGTCATTGCATGAAGGTCACAGCGGTCTCAGGAAGTGAGTGGAGTTACTTCAAGTCCCATCATCCATGGTCCGTCCTCCCCCAAACCGCACCAGAATGTTGAGTTGGCCATGGGGCCTGTCTGTGCTAAGTTTGGACTTTATTGGTAATTGGATGAGTGTTGCTGTGGTCACAGAAAGTGAGTGAAGGTACTGCAAATCCCATCATCAGTGGCCCATCCTCCTCCAAACTGCACCAGGATGTAGAGTGGGTCATGGGGGCTCTGTGTGCAAAGTTTGGTCTTGATCAGTCATTGGATGAGGTTCGCAGCGGTCTTGAGAAGTGAGTGAAGGTTCTTCAAGTCCCATCATCTGTGGTCCGTCCTCCCCCAAATTGTACCAGCATGTTGAGTTGGCCATGGGGGCTCTCTGTGCCAAGTTTGGTCTTTATTGGTAATTGGATGAGTGTTGCTGTGGTTGCAGGAAGTGAGTGTAATTACTGCAAGTCCCATCATCTGTGGTCCGCCCTCCTACAAACTGCAGTAGGATGTAGAATGCCACACACACCTCCCGCCGCACACATACATACAGACATACAAACACTGACTTTAATTATATACTAGCTTGAGAACCCAGCGGTGCCTGGGTTATTTGGGAAAGCCATTGTTTTTCTGTGTTCCAAGTTTAGTCTAGATCCAATGTCAGCTGTGTTTAGTGGGTGTGAGTGAACTACACCTCCAATATGGAAGTCCCATCATCCATGGTCTATCCTCCTCCATACCGTACCAGGATATAGAGTGGGTCATGGGGGGTTTCAAGCTTGGTCCTGATCTGTCATTGGTTTGGGTCGCAGTGGTCTCAGGAAATTAATGAATGTACTGGAAGTTCCATTGTCCATGATACATCTTCCTCCAAACTGCACCAGGATGTAAAGTTGGTCACGGGGGCACTCTGTGCCAAGTTTGTTCTTGATCTGGCATTGGTGTGGGTCTCAGTGGTCTCCAGAAGTAAATGAAATCACTGCAAGTTCCATCATCCATGGTCTGCCCCCTCCCAAACTGCACCAGGATGTAGAGTGGGTCATGGGGGTTCTGTGTGCCAAGTTTGGTTCTGATCCGTCATTGTTGGGGGCCGCAGTGGTCTAAGGGTGCCCAAGCATTTGAAAGTAATACAAATCCCATCATCCATGGTCCATCCTCCCCCAAACCACATAAGGACATAAAGGGGGTCATGGGGGTTAGGTGTACCAAGTTTAGTCCAGGCCCGTCACCCCTGCTGGTCACAGTGGCCTGTGAAATTGGCAGCCAATCAGAAAGCTGCCACATATACCACCCTCCCTCCGCATACAAACATTCACTTTTATTATATAGATATAGATGTGCTTTATTAGCCAAATGCTTATGGCCAGATTTGTTCATAGTGGACAAAGCAGACATCATGGGGTAGGTATGCACCTCTCAACAGCTTAGGGTACTGTAGTGGAGAACCAAACAACTCATAATGTGAGGGCAGGAGAGTAACAGCGGCCTCCATTGGTTGAAAAGGTGAGGATATTGCAATAGCAATCCATTTTAAAGATGCAAAAAGTCATTGTGTTTTCCTTCATCCCCTGAAAGATAACTTCTGGGTGTCTCAAGACTACATTTCCCATCACCTTAGCTAGCATGGCCAGTAAAATAGTGTATTCCAAAGTCTTGAGGACATTACCTTGGAGAAGAATGAGCTGAAGCCAGGATTGCATTTCCTTTTGTGTCTATAAATATTTGCAGCTTGCTCTGAGATAAGAATGTGGTTCTGGAGGCATCTGTCGTCGTTTCAAAGGCTTTTTCCTCAATTGGCAGGTAATCTACTCCTATGATTAACTTGCGGATCTTCAAGCTCTACTTGAAATGCAAAGCAGGATACAGAAGTAAAAAGTCCAGAATACACAAGCAATAAAATATGGTGGAATTCTGCATATCCATCTCAAATTTTGTTCTTCCAGGGAATTTCTCTACACACTATTATTTACAGTATTTATATTGGGTTGTTGTAAGTTTTTTCGGGCTATATGGCCATGTTCTAGAGGCATTCTCTCCAGACGTTTTGCCTGCATCTATGCCAAGCATCCTCAGAGGTAGTGAGTATTTTATTTATTTACAGTATTTATATTCCGCCCTTCTCACCCTGCAGGGGACTCAGGGCGGATTACAATGTACATATACATGGCAAACAGTCATTGCCATAGACACACAACATATATAGACAGACACTCAGATGCAATTTAACATTCCAGCTTTTCTTGAGGGTATTCTGGGGGAGCTGTTGCTTCACTGTCCATTTGTGACACTGATGAAGTACTTCCTCATTCTTTGCATGCTTGCTGAAGATTTTTATGGCCTCGTAAATTAGTTAAATTAGTGGATTTAGGCAGTACCTAAATTTCCTACTTGACAGATGCAACTGTCTTTCGGGCTGCAAAGGTCGACAGCAAGCTACACAAATTGGTCGGAAGCTCACTCTGACCTGGAATGGCTTCAAACTCGACCTTTTGGTCAGTAGTGATCTTAATGCAGCTGACTCCCAGGGAGCTGCGCCACAATCCCAGTGCTTCAACCAGAAGCACATTCCAAAAAAGGCAGCAATCCCCCAATAATTAGGTAAAGTA